AAGCTTGGTAGGACCATAAGAAAGAGGACTGTGTGTAGAGCAGCGACTGACGGAGCGATCGCTCAAAGCCTCAATCATGTCTGTGGAAGACTCTGCCATGGCGAACGTAAACGATCAAACTACTCTTGTTTTACCGAGAAAAAAGTTAACTGTAACCAATAATCCAAGAATAAACCCCAGCTACTGTTTGATAACATCTGAGTTCAGTCGGTTTAAAACATAAAACTGAAGATTTTGAAACTTTCTCGTTTAATATATGGTAATTTCGCGGCACGTGCCCAAATTATATAACATTAATATAAAAACAGCAACACGCACGTGTTGTATACCGAAAATAAGAATAGCCGAGAAACTTAATATTTTACTAAACCTTTATGTTATTTCAAATTAAAATTTACAAGATTCGTTGTAAGTACATAATAGACGGTATACTTATTGCTTTTCTTTAAAAGGTTTCCCAAATTTAATTTTTACGTGCTTGTTGGATCCCAAGTCAGCTCTAATATACTTCCGTTTCCTGTAAACGTGACATGCAAACGTCGTGGATTCGAACACAATCACGTGTTGTCATCTCTGTTCGATCGACTCTATCGACAAGCCGTGGTCCAAGGGCAATTAAAATACGGGAGTTCTAAATCATTAACAGGGTAGAACAAACTCCAGAAAGACTATACAGAATTTTTTTTCTCGCCAGAAAGTTTCTATACTGACAAAAATTCACTGCATGGCAGTTTACACTGCTTTTGGCAACATGCGTTCAAGGGTCTCTTGCTTCAACACGTGGAACGCTCCTGGGAAATCGTAAATGCACTTGCCACAAGTCTACCTCACGCGCGCGCGAGTTTTTCGGACCGCGGAGCCGCCGAGCGAGGCCACTCGTAAATCATTAAGGTCACAGATGCTTCCAATATTAAGAATGACAACTCTTGGAAGGAAGTATTATACATACTTGACTCTAACCAAAGGTTTACTCCAACCCATTTCTAGCGTCTGCAAAGCCAAGCCATTTCCAGGACTGAAGTACACAAGTCCACCCACTCTAATTATTATTATTATTATTATTATTAGTTTATTTTATTTTATTTTTTTATTTTTTTATTTTTTTTACTTTGTAGTATACATCACTATTTTTTCAAATTTCAGTTTCGGGTGTTCCATTTCTTTGTGGCTTTTTAAAAGGAATGCAGAAGCTTTTTGTGAGTTATGGCTTGGAAAATGAGGAAAAAGATGTAGTACGGGTGTAAATCAGCCTCTCGAACCTTTCAATTTTTTTTTTGGAAGTTTCCTCTTACATGCTTTTTTTCATGATGAATCTCACCCTGTCCCCCATATCCGCCTTGTGGGCAGGTTTTTTCTTGGCGCGCTCAAAATGTGTAATTTTTAGGATTATCGTTTAGCCTGCCTTCTGGCAGGCTACTCGCAAAACTTCTCGAAGCTCAGGAAAAGAACTAACTGTAGGAACAAAGGAAAATCAAGGCAAGAATTAGGAATAAATGGTAAACAAGCCAAGAAAAAAGAGAGCAATGAAAAGATTATCGTCTGGTCATTTTCAGGAAAAAATATTGGAATAATTTCGGCTTTGATCACTTATCCCATCCCCCAAACGTGCAACTCATATTAGTCTGTATTATATAATAGCGCACGTGAGGATTCCAACTGATGTTTTGGGTATGAAGGTGCAATATCACTCAAACGACAATGAAAACACTGGGAAAAGTGATAATATTTACTTAAAAACAACAACACAGACTGAACTATATATTATGAGTCGATTGATAGCACGTTACGCGCGACTTACGTTTACATTATATTGATACAAGACCCACACGACAGACAACGTCCACCGGGCATGCTCACCCTCACGGGGCTTACTGGAAGAGGAAGATCGGGAATCGGTCAATGGGATCGGGGATTGGTAAAATAAAATCATAATGAATTACTTTATTTCAAATGAAATGAACGAAGAATTGCAGAAATGAATCCACCAAATTTACGTATACGCTTCCACCTGGCTTCCATGTTAATTTTCGCCCGTTATCGTCCAACCACATGAGCTCCATAGATTATGGACAAGGTCAAGAGACTCAAGACCTCATAGTCTCTTGACAAGGTTCATAAGCTAAGCGGTGCGTGAGTTCCGTTTTGCCTAGTTTACAGTGTTTTAAAAATCGTAAAATTCTTCCTTTCTCGGGGATGTCAACAAGAAAATATTCAGATGTTGTGTCAGGTCGCATAGAGGAAGCCTGCTCCTCTGATGATACACATAGCTGGCTAAGAAATTATCAGCGGGAAAACGAAGCCGGGAAGACTCACCTCGATGTGCCATCAAAATAAGCAAGGCACGGTAAATTTGGGAACCAGCGCCTAAGAAGTGTGCTGTGATGGTTATAATTTTTTTTTTCGCAAACCCGAAGTCAGAGGTAGCACATTTGTACAAATCTATTCTTTTCATGTTCCTTTGGATGCTGGTAAAATAATGTTACAGGATGGGTAAAAGTTTGCTCGAAAAGAGGGAATCATTCAAAGATCTCGGATCGAATTAAACACTAGGCAAGATTGAAGCAGATTTCTAAATGTATCCCGGGAATGTATCCGAAGCGTATATTTGATAAGTTTGGGTTGAAGTAAACGCTTTTCAACTGACGAAAGGTAGTGTCCAGGTCAGCACGGTCCCATAGCTGGCTGTGTCCCTTTTATGTCTCCCAGATTTTTAGTATGAATTAAGGATATTTGCTGTTTCAATGAACTCATCTTCCCAGTCCCGTGTTTCTTAATTCGGTATATTGAGGTTGTGTATCATCATCTTCATATTATGGGCTGAAGAGCCGTTTAATTTGCTCTTAACACAATTACAATCTCATGTACACACCCCGTCGAAGAGCATAACTGTCCGGGCTGCCCCTGGATAACTGCAGGAAATAGATTTGTGTGTTGTCAAGCACACTGGTACAGTTATCTTTGTTTTTCGTTTGGAAAACAAAACAAGTGTTTTATGTCATGATGTAAATACTTAAATCATCACCGGCATAAAAAAGAGATAAGAAAGAAAACATGTTTAAATCTAAACTGGTGTCAACACTCCGTAGAATCCAACATTTGGTCGAGGGGTTGAGGGTTTTCTTTTTAGTCGAGGGTCTATTATCATGTGGAGGGCACATTTTAATTTCATTTCATTATTATCATTATTATTATTATTATTCATTATTATTATTAATTTTAATGTCATACAGATTAGCAATACAATTTAACAAAAATGCAGTAAAAACAAACGCTATTCCGATAGACAAGAGACCTTAAGCGCTTCATTTTCCAGCATCAAACACAGTTAAAAATTCACCTTGTAGTCAAAACAGTCACTGAATCAGTGAGACCCAGATCGAAGTATTACAGTATATGTTCTGTGAAATTTATCCGCACAGTCTGCGACACATCACCAAGACCCACAAGTATTCTACAATTCTAAGATCCTCCATCCCTGATCCTCGATCCCCGATCCCCGATCACCCCGATCCTGATGTTCCAGTAAACCCGCCCAAGGTCACAAGAGATTTTTGCACAGTCACGTCGAAAAAAATCGACGGTCACTATAACTACCCTGTTCGGTAGTTTCAAGAAGTGATGAAGGGATTTCTAATAACATTTGTCATTGCCCGAGAGTGGGTTTCTTTGTTTGTTTGTTTTTTTTTGCGATTCTTGCTATGTTTTTGAGCCATTTGCCAGCTGATACTGTCATACAGCCGCTTGAAACGACTTGACCTGACAGTCGAATCCGAGTGGATAGTGATTTCTCCAGTGAATAGCGCTATACAACGTGTGCCGGAAGAACTGGACCGTAAGGGCGCTTTCCATTCAGCCTATAATTCCGGAAATGTCAGTTAGAATTCAAATGGAAAGGACCATTTCGGTTCGGTCCGACCGAAATATTTGCGATTACCATTGAAGTTGGTCCACCTTCACCGGTCCGCTCATTACCGAAATGTCCCGATTGTTGTCTCCAGTACCGCTCTTCTGTATCCCTGCTTACAAGAACAAAAACATAGCCAAACGCGAAGTGGTCTGTGCAGCCGGAATGTATCTTTCCAGTAGGCACGTGGAATTTCCGAAATTTCAAACCGGACTCTTTGTTGAATGTAATGGGCCCAGAATGTCAAGCAGTTCGGAATCGTTTTAGCGGGCGTTTTAGCCGAAAAAACAGCAATACATATGAAGAGGAATTTGAAGCATTTCAGAGCCCAGTTGTTCGAACGCCTGTTAGTGCTAACCCGCGGTTATATTTTAACCCGGGTTTCGTTTTCTTTTTATCAATAGCACTCTCTCGGAAAATTTTCTCTATTCTTTTTAGAGTATCCTATCATCAAATTGTAGGCAAAGAGAATTAAACTGAACTTGCTTTTAAACTCTGATATCCGAGTTCAAATTTCGCACTAACCCTGGGTTACCTTAACCCAGTTTCGAACAACCTGGCCCAGGTGACCAAAAAAGAGTCTGAGTCATATCAGCCCCTTCCAGGTCTCTTTGTCATTAATGAAAAAATAATAATAATTGCGAGTGACAAGAGTAGCCTGGGACCAGGCTGCGCAGTGGGGGAAAAAAGGCAGAACCTGGTCCCAGGCTAGACAAGAGGTGTCCACAATCCGAATCTCCAGGTTGTTATTACGCATGCGTCACACGTATGTAGCAAGCATTTGTTTGGACTTCCATAGTCTTCCTTGCAGCTCTTTTTGTCTCGCCACGTAACGCTCCTCCCAACGAGACAAAAACAGCTGCAGGGGAGACTAGGACTTCCACTGAAAGCACAGAGCGCAATTTATTTGATCACGGATGTTTGGACCTTCTATCACTCGTAATCTTGTTCACGCGTGTTTTGACTATCTGTCACGCACAGCGATGGAGCAAAAGTGTTTTGACCTTCGATCGTTTTCGCCCGCATTCTGTAACCTTTGATTATAACTAGTAATAATAATAATGATGATAAGTCTTTATTTCATAAGATAAACACACATATCCTTGCCCTTGGCAATGGTTTAAAACTACAACATTGGTTAGTATTTCCTCGCTCTTGAATAATTCTATTAGCATTTGTCTTGAGGGTAGTTGATAAAACGAGGGTTGAACTTGGAACGTTTAAAGCATTGTACTGCTTCTGAATCACACTTGCACAAAGAATGTCGACATTTGCCGTAAAACCAGTAGTAACTTGCAGGTTCTGAAAAGAAAAAATATTCAGTAGCATTTTTATGTACCTTGAAAACACAACTTTCGTCGCACGAAGGATTTGAGAAAAGAAATTTTTAAAATATTTACAGCCTTGTTGGCAATTATATTTTAATAATAATAATAATAATAATAATTTTATTTATATAGCGCTAAAATCCAATAATTGTCCAAAGCGCTACCTAATTACAAAATAGAATATAAAATATCTACAATATACAATATAATTCAAATATAGCCTAAGTTATCTACTATATAAATCAAAAACATCTCAAAACAAAAGGAATCTCATAACCTGTATGCTAACTTAAATAAAAAAGTTTTAAGGGATTGCTTAAAAGTTGCCACTGAAGCACATTTCCTAATCTCTAGAGGTAAATCGTTCCACAATTTAGGTCCTGCAATAGAGAAAGCTCTGTCTCCATATGTTTTCAATCTGCTTCTTGGAACCACTAAATATTCTTTACATGAAGAACGCAATGACCTAGAGTATGTTTTAAAATTCAAAAGGTCAGAAATATAAGAAGGTGCAAGGCCATGAAGGACCTTGTATACCAATAAAAGGACTTTAAAAGTTATTCTAAACTCAACTGGTACCCAATGAAGATTAATTAAAATAGGAGTTATATGAACATGCCTCGGTGTCAATGTGACAACACGAGCTGCAGCATTCTGAACTGCCTGTAGTCTAGCTAACAGATACTTAGGAAGGCCATGTAATAAGGAATTACAGTGATCAAGTTTCGAACTAATAAATGCATGGACTAAGATTTTACATGTATCTTGGCTTAAGTACTTGCGGATTTTAGCAATATTTCTCAAATGATAGAATGATGATTTACAAATGTTCTTAATGTGCTCCTCAAAACTAAATATGCTATCAAACTGAACCCCTAAATTACGAACAGAGTCACGAGGTGCAATGCACTCAGAACCAACAGTAATGTGACCGATGTCAGGCATAGGATGGAATCTGGAACTGATGACTACAAGGTCCGTTTTTTCCTGGTTTAGTTTAAGATAGTTTCTTATCATCCATTCATCAATGTCCCTCACACAGCATTCCACTCTCAACTTCACTTGTTGGATGTCATTCAAGCTGGTAGATTTAAAGGTAATATATAATTGGGTGTCGTCAGCATATAGATGGTATGATAGTCCATGATCATTTATTATGTCCGCAATAGGTGATGTGTATAACAAATACAACAAAGGGCCCAGAACTGATCCCTGAGGGACACCACACTTCAATGCACGTTGTGAAGAATGACTATTCCCAACTTTAACAAACAGCTTACGTGAAGACAGGTATGATTTCAGCCACTTAAGCACAGTTCCTTGAAAACCAAAACAAGTAGACAGCCTTGTCACTAGAAGAGTATGGTCCACCGTATCAAACGCCGCCGACAGATCCAAAAGTACCAGTATGACCGACTCATTTCGATCTAAAGCACAAAGAATGTCATTTTGAACCCTCAGTAGAGCCGTTTCAGTGGAGTGAAATGACTTGTATGCGGATTGAAACGTTTCCGAAAGACCATTAGATGTAATATAGTCTGTAAGCTGGACACATACCGCTTTTTCCACAAGCTTGGACACAAACTTCAAATTAGAAATAGGTCGAAAACTTTCATATTTAGTGAAATCAGCATTATGTTTCTTTAAAGTCGGTGTCACAGCTGCAATCTTCAAGACATCAGGCATAACTCCAGTAGATAAAGATGTATTCACTATGTTAGTCAACACAGGAGTTAGTAAATTGAAACATTCCTTCATTACCACTGCAGGCAGAGGATCAAGTACACAGGATTTATTAATAGATCTCAATGCAAGTCCCTTGATGTTTTCGTAACTGACATTAATAAAGTCTGAAAACACAGAGTTACATTCCACGTAGTTACCAAGAGTCACTTCATTAGCATCATTACCTTGCGCAGAATTCTTCTCTATTAGTGTGGCATGGATACGATCAATCTTGTCAATGAAATAATCAGCGAAAGAATTAGCTAGTGCATCACTACAAGAAGATGGATACCGTGCAGTTGATTGCTTTTGTAGTAGTTTTGATACTGTACTAAACAAAACCCGTTGATCAGTTGAGTTTTCAGCAATGATGGTAGTGTAGTAAGAGGATTTCAACGACTTGATCAAATTATTCACAACGCAGCACTGACGAGTATATTCTTGTCGATCAGCCTGCAGCCTGGTTCTTCGCCATTTTCTTTCAAGGCGTCGTCGCTTACGCTTCTCTACAGATACCTCATTAGTGTACCACGGAGCAGCAGGCCTAATAGTAACAACTCGGCGCTTGACAGGAGCATGCTTGTCCATTATTGATCTTAATAAGGTGTCATACTGTTGAACTAGATGATCGAGATCGCTGGATGGGTCGATGACGAGAGGGCAGTCAGCAACATCACTAAGAAACGACTCCATGTCAAGAGACCGAAGCTTCCGATAGAAGATAACTTCCTTCCTAAACTGGGGCTTTCTTATGGAGACATCACACATTACCGCCAAATGATCAGAGATGTTAGGATCATAGACTTTGATATTATTGAGCATGTTATCATCAGACTTATTTATAAGTAAGTAAGTCAAGAGTATGGCCATTGCGATGAGTCCCAGCACAGACACGTTGTTTAAGGTCAAAAGATTCCAAGATGTCAGTAAAACGTTTGGCATTTACATCATCTTGACAATCCATATGCAAGTTAAAGTCACCAGTAATTAGGACTCGATCAGAAGACTCCACAGTTACAGATTCAAGTAGATGTGAGAATTCCTCAAAAAATCGATTGAAAGAGGAATTATCAGGTGGACGATAGATGACTAAGATCCTGACACTATTTTGGTTGTGAAACAGTATTAACCAATTCGCCTCATGTAACGGAATCTAGACAGTCTTGGATTCTGATTCCACGCCGTGAATTCCGGATTCCAGGTACTACATTTCGCATTCTTTATCGATGGAACTTGAGTCTGGATTCCAGTCGTTAGCGGAATTTCGAATTCCTCGAACTGTATTCAGTCCACAAGCAAAAATATCCCAAACTGCGGAATACTGATTCTTACTTGGGCGAAGCTAATATTGTTTTCCCTATTATCCATTCCTAATTCTTTCTTCACTTTCGTCGGCGTTTTCACGAAGTCAATGTTTACGACCTGGAATCAAGTCTAGCAAAATTTGCGGCAAAGAAATAAGGATGACCAGAGAGAAATAAAGTACAATAATAAGTCAAGCGTGTTAAATTATCTGTAGTTTTTACCTGACAAACAAAAGCAAATTTTGCAAATTAACTTTTGGACGGGGCATTTTCAATCAAAGATGGTGGTTACTGATTATTAGTAAAATCCAACTAGTGGTCTATTATCAATGCTGCGTTCTGATTGGTTGAGCTACTACTAGGCTATATTTTATAGCCCACTAGTAGCAAAAAGCCAGGCTTTTTGGCGGAAAAAAAGGATTAAAATCTACCTTTAACTAGCTAAAATTTTTTCATTCTCGATATTTTTGACCAACTAGTTGGATTTTACTAAACCAATTATTCCTCTCGCCCTCATGGCCTCTGAGTCAATAGCCCATTCGGCCTTCGGCCTCGTGGACTATTGACTCAGAACCCATTTGGGCTCGAGAAATAATCGTTAAATATACCCTTAATTCCCCACATTAGAAAGGAGAAGGGAACTGGAACCGAAATGTGTCCCGCAATTGTTTCTGGGATCGTTACTGGTGACGCGCCGATCAGCTATTGGCCAATTGTTTTTTCTTGTCGTTAATAACAGTCCCAGAAGTCTTCGCGAAAGTTGACTCCACCCTGTTTCCTTCTTGTCCTAAAGGGAAGACCTCATATGACAATGACCTCATCCAGGTTGGCGTCCAGCGGTTTTAGTGGAAACAAGGGTTTTGGTGGGTTGCTCAGTCTCGTGGGCTCATAAACCCTGGTCTCGGTCATTGTTATTTAAGGATTTCCTTTCTAAAGAGGCGAGTTGTCTTTTTGTTAGGTTCTTAAGTGTTTTGTGTTTTAAGGTAAAGGTCTTACTGCATCTGAAGCATCCTTCTCTACTGTAAGGCATGACGTAAACAGCGTCGTCGAACGGGCAAGAACCTGAGCGTATCACTGAGTTGTAGCACTCATCATGTATTTGACAGCATCTAAGTAACAAAGAAAGCATTCATGACTTTGCGATTATACGCGTCATTGTGAAATGTCTGTCCTTCTTCGATTTTGGTGTTTCATAAAGATTATTAGTTCCTTCAGTTACAGGGTTCTACTTTGCAACACGACCTCGACTGACCTACTTTACCTGCAGACCTGCAGACTGTAATTATTTACTCAAAAGGGCTGTGTCACGCCGGCTAGCTAGTTCATTTTGTATATAAAACCACTCAATGGGCCATTTGCACGATGGCGTCATTTTACTACTACTAAGCTGAATCCTTCAGGGTTTAGCTTTCTTTTGCCAATTTAATAGGGTTTTTTAACCTCACTGGTATTAGCAAATTCAATTTTGAAAGAAAAAGGAAATGAATTCTGGTCTTTGTAGCTAAAAGACGTCATCGTGGAAATGGCTTATTACAGGGTGGGTAAGGGGTTTACCGCGACGGGTGATGGGATCCAAATTATCAGCGTAATACGGGATCGGACCCAAATTAGCCGCGTGAGGTGTGATTTGGCCTAGCAGCGTGGTGCGTGATTTACTATTTTCACAACGCGTGACGCGTGATTTTTCTTTGAAATTTCCGTGATGGTTAATATCACTTGAGACTGGAAGTGGAGACATTAACAATAGATAGTTATGACACCAACTTCTTGCCCTTTTTTCTCGTTCCTCGACCTCTCATTTCCTCAGATCACATGATAATAGGGTAATTGTTAATTTAGCTAATATTTTATTTTTACGTGATGCGTGCTAGCTTAAAAAAAACATCGGCGTGATGCGTGATAGGTACCCCCTCCTTTACCACAATGGAACTTAACTTAAATAGCTTGTAAATGACAAAATCACAGCTTGGTGTCAAACAAATATGTGTCCCAAGCACAGTGAGCTTAAACAAAGGCGTTTTTGAGCGACTGACGTCAACCGCAAGTAAGGCCTTTTCCTTCTTAATATGCCTTGACGATATAAAATTGTGTTGCTTAGCTTCTTTACTCTTATAGAGACGATTTGACTGAAAATTTGGGCAAAACCATCGTCCAAAAATGAAAAGGGGTCACTTCCGGTTCACGTGTGTCGCTTAAAAAACGTCGTTGCTTAAGTTCCCTATTATCTCAAAGGTTACAAACAAAAAAATGAACTTTGAAAGAACTGTAAGGCTAAGTTTTCAAAAACTGCGATCCGTTTAAATGTTCTTCAATTTTGTCAATCCTTAGATCCTTTTGTAACGTCTTCAGGGACTATTTATATGTTTCGCTCATTTTGTGGCAGTTCCAAATGTTTGAATTTTCATAAATTTTGGAAACAGCTTCTTTAAAGGGGTTTAAAATTTCTGGTAAGAGATGATCTTAAAATCACTGCAATCAGTTTATTTGGAAAAACTTCAATTGCCCTTTTCGAGTTTGCATGTGACCGTGGGATCGGGCACGCAAGGGCTTCTTTCACTGGCCAACACATGATAAATGTTTGATTCGTCCCTTCAAATCATTCCCACAGTGCAATTCGACCAAAAACCGACCCAATCTTAAATGCAACCACACAATGACCAATGAAGTAATGTCCTGATTAATGCTCCCCTCTCTAAGGTACCTGTCTGTTTGGTCTAAAGGTTTTCCTTTGCCTCCAAATCCACAGTAGCAGCCGTAACCGTTGTAAAGTAATGGGTTTCTGTGGACATGACATAAAATCATGAGGCCAAACCCAACAATGCTTCTGCTTGTAGATACCATTGGTGCATCTTTACTATCTACAAAAATCACATAATGTGGCCAGAAGAATTATGGCGTTTACTTTTTTCTTAGAATTGCTAGTTTCTCTTATGGCTATGAGAACTAGTTTGTATCAATCATAAGATTTTAAGAGCATCCCAATGGTTTCAGTTGTCCAAATATCAAGAAATAATTGTAAGACTCCCGTGCTTATCATATGCCACCGTGTGATATTTTTCAGTATGTGTTCCAAATAATCAAATTACTGAACATATTGAGGAGTAACCTGGTAATTGCCAAATTCGTTTAAACCTTTACTTTAAGTAATTCTGATGACTTAGAAAAGTCTAAGCGATCACAATACTTATTCTACATTTTATTATCCTTTTTTGCTTGCGATATCGATAAATAATTCGAAAAAATGACAGAAAGAAAATTTGGAATTTTTCGTGAGGTTTTTCTTGTTGAAAAGGACTTTTTTCTGTGTGCAAATCATCGCCTTGGCTCCTTGAGGAAAGAAAAAAAAATTGACAAAAAAATTTGTTGAAACCGCGACTTACTTACCCTTAGATGTAAATTTGTTTTCCTGTTCCTGTGAAAAAAGAAAGTTGGTAAATTCAACATGTAACATGTGACATTTTTAATTTAACCAATAATACCCACTGCAGTGAGAAACAATTTCTTGTCAATTAATAGAACAATAACAGAGACATTCTGGGATTCATAAAAGAAAAACCAGCAACAACAACAGTAGGAACATTATTCAAAGACAGGAGAGTACATTTGTCATACATGTATATATTTTTTCTTACACTTTTAACTACAATATGGTAAACGAAAATAGAATTAAACGGAAACTCAAATAGACCCAAAAGAGAGCTTTAACCCACTTACCAGATCACGCCAACTTGCAGCCTCAGAAATCTGGAAGAAGGCAAGGGAAAAGTAAAAAACAACATAACCATGAAAAGACTTCATTTCGTGTGGCTTTAACGCTGACGTGATGTACTAAGATGTCTGAAACGTACCCCCGTCTCTATATTCAATATGCTAAAAACTGCCTCTGACGCATGTTCTGTCAAAACCTCAATGACTTGAAATTGTAGTCAATTTCATCTGCTTTACTTCTGTGGAAAAGTCAACATCAAACTAAATTGTTTTTTGCCTCTCTGTTTTCTCAAAATTCATTTTGTTTGGTTTCGTTAATTTGGTCTACTTATTGACCAAGACTTTTCCCTTTTTTTCCGATATCATAATTGCTTCATTAAATATACAGTTCTCCTTTCGTATTTCTGAAGAAGTCCTTGAAACGTTATCGACTGTCGTTGTATTTGGTAGGTTTTATCGTTTGATATACCAAAATTAATACCGATTTAGAGGTAGCACATCCACATAGTTGTTATTCGTCTACCATTTCTGGTCGAGTTAGAATTTGAAATTGTTGGTTTTCGAGGAGAAGGAAAAACCGGAAAACCCCGAGAAAAAGCCATCGGGGCTAAGGCGAGGACCAATAACAAACTCAACCCACATACCCGGGGGGCTACTCCCCATGATGGCCTATACCGGGTGGGACCGCCCAAGAGGGCTACCTTTTTCAGGCTTAAGGTATACAAAGGGTAGGGATTTCACTAGTTGAAGTATATAAAAAAGTAGGTGAAAGGAACCAAAAGGGCTAACAGATGAATTTTTTGGTTTATAAAGTCGAGAAAACGTTCTATTTTTGTGACTGATTCCTATTTAAAAGACAGTGCATTTACAGCAGTTAAAGGGGATGCAAAGTTCTAAACAAGGTAAGAGAAAGGGGTACCATTTGTCAATAGAAGCCGGTATACGAAAGGGGTATCTTTTTCATGAAAAATGGTATATAAAAGAGTAAGGGGTTGGAGCTCGGGGGAGCCTCCCCGTATAAACAATTTTTGAGTACTGAGTCCCCCCCCCCCGGCCCACAAATGGCGTCGACGCCGAAATTAGAACCCAAGTCATATTGGTGGGAGGCGAGTGCTCTCACCACTGTGCCATCTCTTGCGGCTCTCCACTGATCTGATGGAGGTGTTCTCTTTGACAGCTCCACTAAAAGTTTACTTTTTAGTGTTAACCTGAGTGTGCAAATTGACTGTTATCATCAGCGGCATATACAAACCTCACGTGAAATAAACAGATGGTCAATCAAGTACGAATATCTCTACTGTCGTATTTTTATTCTTTATTTATCAACTTTAAAGTAATAATTACATATCAATTATTTCTGTGATAGAAACACCTACCATTAAAGTTGAAATCTTTAAAAACAAATGGACAGTTTTGTGTTAGTCGACCCAAAAAGTCGCAATTTGTATAGTTCAATCCAATTTTGAAGACTTCATCTCCCTTGTCAGTATTGGAGTGAGCTCCCTTCTAGAGGAAAAAACCACTCTTGCACCCCAGATTTTTTGTGTTTATTATTTCTCTTCTGTGTTTCTTATAAGGAACCGCCTCAACCTCGTGGACAAAGCCCTCCTTTCAAATACTCTTCTCTGGGTCTAGCCTGGGTTTTCCAGAGACCTGCGCGCACAGTTTTCCAAATCCACCCCCTGCCCCGTCCCCCGTATTATTATCACTAGGGTGACTTTTACTGAGATGATTCACTGTTCGTTTCTCGTCAGTGTGGTGAGGCTATCATCTCTCTTGCCTTTCTTAGTCGAAGGAGTGTGTTCTCCTTGCAGCACCGTCCTTACGTTTGCGGATGGCAGCGGCAGAGAAAACACCAGCTTTTTTAAACACATTTTTGACAGCAGTTTACTAAGCAGAGTTACAAAGTCGTTTGCTTTTTTCAGCACTTGTTTATTTCCTTTCTTTCCTTTTGCACTTTGTTGTCGCCTTTGTTTTATTAAATGCTCATATTTTACGGGTAAGCACATGTGTATAAGATTTCCTTTTTACATATTTGTAAAATACAGAAAGAGTTATGCTATGTTACTAAAGGTTTCATAATGCCCCCTGCTTCTTAACTCACACTCATTCAGGGAGAACCTCCTCCTCGTTAAGGTAACACCTTGTACTCGAGTTAACATGGCCAGAAATTTCAGACAAACCGCGGCATGGTGTGTGGGTTCATGTAGTTTTTCTTTCGTTTTGATAAAATTAGTGAAAAACGGTAGAATCTAATGCTTAGGCAACAAAAATATAGCATTTGCCAACTACTTATATTAAATAATATGCATGTTCAAAAGAAGAAAAACCGAAGTTTTCCTGATATTACATCATTGCGCAATCAACAGTCTCATCAGTGTCACACTGAGTCACACCACTTCTCACGCCAAGGCATGATTATATAAAACAAAAGAAGCAAGGCTGATTTTACAGTCGGGGATATATCTTAAATATAAAAATATTATATATTCCCCACTCTAAAATCAGCGTTGCTTCTTTTGATTCATATTTTCACTTATTACTGATTAGACGCTTTACTAGGATCCGGTCCTCCTTTTTTGTAAGCTGGTCCTTGATTCAAAAATTGAAGTCATGATTGCTTGAAGATGCAAGGCTTGTACAGCTCTCATGACGTTCCTACCTGAAAATAGCTCGGTTACAAAGTTTGAGTAAAAAAGGGCGGCCTGTTGGCACAAATCACGAAGAAATTTTGATGTTTTTTTACCATCCTATTGCACTGCTCTAGGCTGCTTTTTTCACACAAAGGCAGACATATTTAAAAGCTAAATATTGGGGGTTTTCAAACCCGTTTCGCCGACTCTAGAAGGCTTAACAGCGTTTAAGACAGCCCCCGATCCGAATTGAAGGTCTATCCTTGCTGGATCTTGCTGAAAACAGTAAGGTGTGTGGACTGTGTAATGGATAGGAACGTCGCGCTTGTACTGAATAAGAAAAGGTGATCAGCGTCGAATTTCAAAACGCTGACGTGGCCACACATAGCCGTTGCAATGGTTTATTCTGCGGATTTTTGGCAGATCGCCTTTACCGGAGCTTTGGCGTAAGTGATCTTTGAAAATTTTATCGTGTTATAGATGTGTGGAACTTGATTTTTTGGATCCATGACAATAATGATTTTTTCTTACAACTTAGGGCTATTGATTGTTATGTCTCACTCTGGAATTGACAAATTTAAATAGGACAGCAAAACTGAAGGAATTTTGGAAGTTGTAGTCAAATGACGTCATCGTGAAAATCTGACAAGGGGATAGTAGCATTACATAACTCACGATAAACTTACCAGTGAAAGGACAAGCAACAGGAAAAATAGTGGACACGATCCAAACATGTTCGGAGAAAATAGATCTCTGAACCTGCAAAGGAAAAATAATTAGTTTCAAAGGACAATGTGAACTCGAAAGCTTAACGCTGATTTTCTTACCAATTTCTTCAAAAGCTTCTCTTCCCTATCAGCGTCTATCAGCAGTGCTCACTTGAGGCACACTTGCCAAGTGAATGATTTTCGTGGCTGAGATAACCTTTTAATTGCCTTAAGTTGTTTATTTTGCTCACCACCATTTATTGTTTAGCAGTGCGAACTTTTCTTGTTCTAGTTTAGACTGATTCACACTTCCGCTTTGTACTTGTAAAATTAACGTTGGCTCGTCTCATTAAGAAGTCAATGCTAACTTCATTTCAAAAACAGCAATTAAAACATGTTAAGCAGACGTTCCGAATGAGTAGTTAGTAAATAAAACTGGATCGAGAAAGTTTTATCTAATAATTTTTTTTTAGGAAATTTGCTCAACAGATGACACAAATCTACCGGCACAGGCAACACACATACCTGATGCATAAACCACTCCAATTTTTTGAGTAGCTTGGGAGCTAATATCCTCGAGCTCAATTCATTAAAATATATTACAAGAAAAAACTGTGTCTGCACATAAAAGAAACTAATATTCACAAATATTCACTAAAATTCACAAAAAACTTCTTTGTCTGTGAACCACATGCCAATGTGTATGTAATATGACTTGTTAAATTTTCCAAGGTCGACTTTTACAGTATTTTTCAAAACGTTCCCATTACCTCGTCTTTCTCTTACGGTCTCTTTAGCTGCTAAAAATCGCTGAACATATTTCATGCAATGGAGAAATCCAAGTATTACATTAACTAGCGATATTAATAGTACGTATATCCACACAACAATGTTTGAAAATCATGAACTTGAAATCGTTTTGGACGCTTAGTCTCAGAAAGAGCCAAAAGAACTTTGAGCAACACGCACTCATTCGCGCGAGACTTGAGATTAACGCAGTAAATTAAAGTCAGTGGAGAGATGGACACGTCAAGTTCTGATCAACTAAAGAAATTATACCAATTGTTTACATTTTCTAAGTGGATTTTTCACCTAAAATGTTGCTTCTAACAGTAACACTGTAAAGTGAAAAATTTTAAACTAGGAATTATCATTCAGTTTCTATAGAGCACAAATCAATTAAGACTCTCCCCGAGAGAATTTGCTACTAAAATGTTGCTTTAGTGAAAAATTTCAATAAAGGAAACGGACTAAAATGTGACATGCCGGAGTAGAACCTCGATTTCTCACACTCGGATAACTCGAATTCCTCGCTAACTCGAACTAAATTTGCTTTCCCTTGATCAAAATTTCACTCCAGTGAAATTTACCCCCGGCCGATAACTCAAATTCCCCGCTTATCCGAACTGTTTTTCGTTTCCCTTCAGATCGAGTTCGAGATACCGGTATTCTACTGTTTAAGCATAAACTTTAGGCCCTGAGGCCCTGAAGAGAGCTGTTTTTTCCAATTTTTGAATATTAATTTGTTTTGGAAACCTTTATCGGCAAAATTACTTCTTGATTTTGACAATTTGTCAGTCTTTTGATTCTAAAAGAAGCCAGGTGCGAAAGATAATAATGTTTTGAGACTTTGCAATTTATGTGTAAATCAGTTAGAAAATTATAACACTTATTTGTCTGTCCGTTAGTCTAGTATAAAAAAGACTTAATGCACATCTTTAATTGACGAGTTAAGTTTTCCACCGCGACTCGACGCGACGTATTGTGGTCTGAGTGTACTTAATTTCCCCATATACGAAACTTTCGAATTTTAAGTTTACCAAACTAATCCATCGTTAGTTAAGAATACTGTAGCTGAAATTTGTTTATACGTTTTTGAGAAAAATTAGCACGTCGCAATAACTAAAGTAGATAATTAGGGACACGTCATCGTTAGCTGTAGCACTTACCTTAGACTGTTCTCCATTCTGCCCATGCATCTTTTTCTGCTTTTTGCCCTCTGTTCGTTAAATCTTGGACATAAAATAAAATATTTGAAACAATTACTCAGTATGATTGTCTACGATTTGCGATCAGTGTGGATAAACATCGAAATACCTCAACACCTCGGCTTTTATATATACGTCAAGTTTCTCGGAAAGTCGGGTCTTTTATATTTCGACACGACAGCGTGCTTTTCGAACGGCTCCGAGTTTTTTCTCTTCGAACTTTATCCTTTCAGTTTAAGATAGGTTCTATCGTCTTAGGTAGAAAGTTCCTTACCTTGTAAGCGAAACAAACAAAGAGCCCGATCAGAAAATCCCTATTGTACGCTTTCATTAATAATTCCGGAAACTGCCCCGTTTTTCCATCTTTCCACTTTCTTCCTCCTTCTACTTCGTTTTCGAGGATTCGCAAACATAATCAAGAAGATTAGATCACAGTAATGGAAACATAACCAAACCCCGCGAAGAGTCAGTTTTCTAATAAAAAAAGCTTCGCTGCAACCGAAAATGTAATTAGTATCCCGTGGTGGAGAAAATAATACTTTTCAAGGTCCTGAGGCACTTTACAGTAGGAGCAGCAGACTGTAGTAATCTTCCGTTTCAAGAGAGGCTGAGCCGGCTATTGAAATAAAGCTAAAGCAGCAATTCTGGGAAATTGACCTGCCAGGTACCGATTTACTTACTACCTGTTTTTTAAAGATTAGGAATAGTTGAATAAATCTTACCACCTTACTGAGTGCTAAACTGTAGTAAAATGAACATGAAGTGAGTTCCCTAGCCTGAGGGTCATTTCCTCTTGCTCTCATATATTTCTTGAACAAAATTGCTTCACTACGTTATTTTTACTGAATAACCCAGAACGCTTTACCTGCACCGTTAAGCAATGTAAAGCAAAATCAAACAAACAAGACAATCCTAGTTACTGTCGTGTAAACAGACTTTTCATGTACCGAACTTAACACCTATTTAGGCCGACGACCCAAATGACACAAGTTCGACGGTTGATTCAGACGTAGGAACTTAATAAGTCGGTCTCAATTCATTGTCACGATGTACAATGGTCTACAATACTTACCAGTGATAATAATTTATTAGCGATTTATGAATTAGGTTCAGTACATGAAAACTTCCACGTTGGAACTGGGCCTAATAGCTGTCGATACTAAATGGGGAAAAGAAAAGTGAAAATTGTTGGGAAAATTTAACTAATGAGGGTCCGTAGCTGCAGACAAAGCAAAGAAAGGACGGAAAGATGTTGACTCCGTTTAATTACTGGCAGGTTATTGCAATGGCTCAGGAATTAATAATAAATTTAACAATGTTGTTTTAGTTCATTTCCTTGTTTATAATACTTCATGGCATTTTGTATTTAGTTTAAGGAGCTCTTTAGTGGTATAGTACCTACCGAATTTAAGTTCCAAGCGTGGGTTAAAGACCCATTTGTATACATCTATCATTCGCACTCTCAGTTTGTAGCTGATTCCATTGCAGCCCTATAAGGCCCATAATCCGTGTTCGTCAACTGCCAGATCAACATGAGTGTAACCACCCCACTGGTAATGGGTCTTCTATCGCCGAACCAGCCAAGCCTATCTGTTTTTCCTCACGCTCAGTCTGCAGATTGACGATGTTGTTCGTACCCGCTCTGTCATGCAACAACAAAAAATACCACCTGACCAAGCTAGCATCAGGTTTGATATGAACTTACAGAACTTTAAAAAGACTTTAGATATTTTTTCTCACCGCAGATAGAAAGAAAACGTTCCGAAGAATACTTAGTTTTAAAATTGGCTGTAGAAAGACAACTTTGAGCGATTTCTTGCCTCGAGTTCATCTTTGAGAAAAGCAAACACCGGGGAGCCGGCTTAAAACATAAACTTAAGCCTTAAGCGTGAAGACTCAGGATTTTTAGAGACACTTTAATACTTGTCTTCGTGGATGAAAATTGTTGTCTCTGTAAATGTTTCACCAAATTACATTTCTTTTATTGATTGTTAGTAGTCTCTCTTGCAATTTTAATCGCTGTGCTGTTTGTTTTCAGTCGTTCATGATCGCTTGCAGGAGTACTCAAAATGCCGCGCGTATCAAACGCTTTTTAAGATTACACATCGTTATAAAACCATTGAATAAAAACAATAAACATGATGTATTCTTTATTATGTTGAAGCGTAACTCTATTAATGTTCACTGCAAAATTGCGCTCGTCAAATGTGAGAAACGGCTGGCCGTATAGGTGATTTTGGGAATTTTTTGAACGGTTTCGCGCTAAAAGCCCAGGATTGATCGTCCTGAATATTGACTGAGTGCAATTTGTCTTGAAAAATTGTGAAATACTGCATTCTGTCCTAGGTCTGTATGATAAATAGTACTGTTTCACCTCAGATGTGATGTATAAAAAGTATTAAACGTTGGTTTATACACCCCCAGATTTGTTGCCAACATTTTGTAAAGTACACTTGTCGAACCCAAAAAATTCGGCCTGATTTGTTTTCCAGGCCTACTCTACGGTGATCAAGAGCCTTTATGGCTCTTGAATGGGATCGAAGATGATTGCTGTTTTTTGGGTGTAATTATAAGGCTATCAACTCGATGTAAGATGTTTCACTATAAAATCACTTTTCCCTCAAAAGTCACGGGAATGTGCCCTTAAGTTAACTGATTTGTGGATTACAAGTTTATTGTTTGATTTAAATTATAAACTTATTAATGGGAGCTTCGCTTTTAGACCTAAATCGATCTTTTTACAGTGCAAACTTGTAGGAAAACTGTCATGTCTGTCAAGTTTATGAAAACACAAATACAAAAACACTGAATCTATTTATTGGCATGTTTACTTTCAACGGAGAAAATCGCGCTGCTGAATAATGTTTACAAGTGAGGGAATCGTCTACGCTTAACTTTAATTTTACTTAATTCCGATCAAAAAGAGATTTTTCAAAACATACTACCAAATCATCCAATTTTTCTGTTTTTTGTTGTTTTTGCGATTGAAAAAAATTATGAAAGCCTTCATTAACTTGATTGTTGTACTCTTACACTATCATTCAATACGAAGCCTACCTGTTTAATATTTGGTGTGCGACACGTTGATGATGCTTGAAAAAGCCACGTTGACTAACTTTCACTTGCCTTTCAAAATAATATACAAAATAATGGCATCCCTTAGTTTATAGCTGATTTCGGAGTAATAAATCATTTTTCTTGTTTTTTTGTTTAAGCCCTTAGCTAGGACTATATGCCAGATTTTGGTTGCTGTCTTATTAAAGGTGGAAAAAAAGAAAATATGCCCCAAATGTTAGGGAGATCGGCCACCATTTCGTGTTTCTCTCAGTCTCGTCATCTCTGGCTAAGTTACGTGGTGCGTCTAGTTGAGGGGACGATTACTAGTGTTTGCGAATGTTTCGAAATCTTGTATACTTCTCATCATATGGATAAGCGATAACCTTAGCAAGAAATAGTCAAAATATGCTGGTTGTACAAACCAAATAATTGTTCCTTTTTTGTAGACAATAAAGCTAGTCGAAATTTATCCTAGACTAGATTCCGCTCAATTAATTTTAGTTTTCTTTCAAGAAAGCTTTCTGAACTTCTTTTTGATTAACTTTATAATCGTAAACTTTATTTACTTAAGCGTCCATGAATTATCTACAATTACCCATAAGTCGGCTTTTATGAGCGACAAAGCCGCAAGAGCCAGCGCGAAGCGTCATAGGCGTTAAGGTTATTTTTTCATAGCTTCTGTAGACACCAGACTGAAGCTGACGTGCATTAATTTTTGGCTTCGACGAGTACCCAGTTAGTCCTGGCGAACTAAAGACCCTTAGTTCAGAGAAACCGTTCACGCTCTAGCGCGAGCTTCTAGGGGGGGGGTCCGGGGGTATACTCTCCCGCAAGATTTTGAAATATATTGTCTCTGAAATAGCATTTTCATCCTTCCCATGCAGTTAAATTTAACCTGACATCATATTCCTGTTTTCTTCCCCTCCCCCCCCCCTGCTGTCTCTCTCACCTCAACATTAATAAACCAAGTCCTATAGTACTCCAGTGGGGGCATATTTGAATCAAAACTTTCTTCCAGATTAATAATCGGTTAAGTTTTTGAACGCTAGAGTTAACTGTGCTCAAAGATTGTTTCAATCAGAAAGAACCAGAAGTTGTCAGAGCCACAAAACATCAGAATTTCACTTTGTAAAATGCTGAATAACTGAATAGTTCCATTTGAAAGTATTGCCAGAGGTTTTGAATGGTAACATGTCCACAGACACAAAAGTCACCGAAAAACCTCATGACTTCATTATTTACTCCCACCTAATTTCTAGGTGCGTATATCAAAGCTCAAACTGTGAGAATTTTTTGAGAAGTGTCATAACCCGCGACACAAGAAAATGCTCATTAGATTTTTTCCAAACACACAGACGTTAAAAAAGGTTTTGAGCACGTGATACTGCTGCCTCTAATATAGTGCAGAAATTACATCTTAACTATATTCTCTCTACATGTATTGTCTCTAAAAACTGTTTGAAAACTATAAAACAGTATGTAATAACTTAAAGGGCCTATGAACACGCCGTGTAAATAGTGTAATGCAGTGCCCAAAACTTCCATGAGTGTTGCCAGATTGTACTAAAACCGAATTCACATCGGCATGGTCACGTGCTCCGTCAAAATTCCGTGTTTGAAATAAGGCACTTTGGCAAATGATACATAGAACCTATTGAAGTAATTGTACGTTAAGTTACTATTTCAACCAGCTAATTTGTTCCGTTCTTTATTCAGCTGTGGCAGATGATTGTTTCACACCTTCATTCATTGCTGTGAATTTTTCTAAGAGGTTGTCAGGCGTTGGTGGCTTTTAGTCACGATGGAGGTAATTAAAGAGAATATATTTTGATTGTGACCGTCAGTCAATTTGTCAATTCTTACTTCCTTTTTTTTATGACCATAATATCCATAAAAGCTTAAACTGTTTCAAAGGAGCTAAAGGTTGAATGCGTCGAGAAACAAGCAGTGCCTGTCAGTGCTCTACTCCGGCGGATAGACCAATACGGCAAGGAAAACATTATATTAAAACGAACAGCTCGCATTTGTCCATCTATTCTTGATAAGCTTTAGATCTTTTAAGGGTCAAAGTTTACAAGACCGGTAAAATAATGGAAGGAATTTTCGTAGTTACACTGTTTTTGTTAGGCCCTGTCTTCTCTTTTCCATTTGCCAAATCATCGGATGAGGTAGGTTAAAAGCTATCGAACTTGAATTTATAGGGCACAGTCAAAAGAATTCTTATCATTGGTCTGGTTTGTTAAAATTATGAGCAATTTCTGTTTGTCTTGTACTAGCAACTCCCTCTAGCATCTGTCTCACTTAATCCCTTAACCCCAGATGGACCATAGGCCAACAAGAGAGAATGATCTAGCTCATTCTCTCTTGAGGCCAACAAATTCATCTCCCCATCTTTTTCACTTGTAGCAACTACATCTTAATTTAGGTTCCTCCATATCTCCCAACGGTACAAAAAAATAACTAAAAAAACGCAAAAAAAAAAAAGTAAATAAATTTGTTGATAGATATTGTTCACATGCAAACTAGAGAGCCTTTCGTTCAAACGTTATCAATTTTACTGCTTTTATTTTTTACCGCAAAGTCCATAAAAGTTATAATATTGATAACGAGTGAGGTAACGTTCTACAACTCTTGAATTGACGACTGTTCATTTAACAATTCCCTGTGTTTATCTAGGATGCGCCCCTGCTGAATTCAGAACTACCTGTGGAAAATCCAAGTAAATCAAAACATAACCCAGGTACATTTTAATAATATTGCCTTAAACAAAACCGTATTAACCTATTAAGGTCAGTGGCCACAAGTAGAATAGCAGTTTGGGTAACAGTCAAGTTACCACTGTTAGCCTTTTTCAGGCGTCCTGGTGGTGGTCTTATTTTGTGAATAATCTACCTTGTTTCGAAGCAATGAAAGAATTATACATCGGTCCTGAGTCGAGTTACGTGTTTTTGGACAGAAAAACACTGTCATGATGTTTGCTTCGATCCTCAACAAAACTATACTTGCGTGCTCTTTAAAGGTACAAAGCATCCAGAGTGACTCTCGTGAAGGATATTGTCCTGGAAACACAACTTAAACTGTGTTGTTACCGGTAACGGAAAGGTTTATTGCTCTCTTAAGCTTTCGATAAGCTTGAAGGAGAGACTGGTTAAAAAAAATCGTCTTGTAGTCTAAGAGAGGACTTGCACTTAACTCATTCCCTGTCCACAATTTCACACCGTCCCCTCTAGACATAAAAGGTCCCCTACGTAGGGAAAATACGTCTGTAGTGTAAGGTGGTCCTCATAATCGGTGTAATCCCTTATTTCCAAACGTTATTTCGTAAGAGCTGGTTGTTCCCTCTAAATGCAAACGTCGCAAAGACGGAAGGGTTTTTAAATAAGGCTAACGTTTATTTTTCTGATCATGTACAGATGGGAATGTCAACGACAAGAGAAATCTTTATCAGTTCCATAAAATGATTGAATGCTCTACCAACCTATCATCCTACCATTACCTTGACTACGGTTGCTACTGTGGTTACGGAGGAGGTGGCAACGCAGTGGACGAAACTGACATGTAAGGAAAAAACGAGAAAAATACCGTGAACTGCAGTCAGTTATAGGCCCATCTACCTTTAAACCCCAATATACACATACAAATTCTTCACCCTCATATTCATACATTTCCTTAGAGATCATTTGAGAGAGCTTAATAAAAGATCAAAGCATTTTCTCTTTGGTGAACATTTGATTAATTCTCATAACCTTATCTCTTGACAACGTATGGATTTTGCTAGGAGAAATTTGATGTTGGTCACTATTGAGACTTAAAGGGTTAAGCCCCCGGCTGTAATCCCCCCTCCAAATGCATTAAAGTGAATACGATTTGTTATGACGCATTGAAGCCTAAACAAAAACCATTAGTGCAAAATGTGTTTTGATCAGTGCTGCCATAACCCGTATCGAGGACTTTTTACCGTTTCTGTTAAAATCCCCACCCTCGGATACAGGCCTCTCTGTAAGCCCTCATAAAACCCCTAACGAAGATGTATAAGCCCAGGGCTTATAAGTTGCAGTTCATGGTACTTTGTTTACTTGTAAACATGGGGAAAAACTAATTCTAGTGTTCTTTAAACAGCTTAATTACTTTAAAGGGAACCTCCACTTCAACAAAAAGATAACTTTAAATCACAGGAAATAACTGTTACAGTCAAGTCAATCTAAAATATTTCTAAAGAAAGCGTTTGTATCCGAAAGAAATAACTTTTAGATTCGCTTATTTTTGTTTTCAAATTTTGCGGGCGTCGCCATCTTGAATAATTGTGAAGTGTTACGGTAGCCCTATTGTTATTAAACAAAAGCTCTTTGTGTCAGAACAATAGAACAACCGTAACACGTCGCAATTATTCAAGATGGCGTCGCCCGCGAAATTTGAAAGTGAAAATAAGCGATTTTAAAATTCACTTTTCCTGATATAAACACTTTTTTTAAGGACAAATTTCGAACAAATTTGTTTATCAACATAATTTTATTCGATTTAAACTTATTCTGTATTAAGAGTGGAGGTTCCCTTTAAAAGAAAAGGAAGGAAGGGAAATATGCAAAAAATTAAACTAGAAACTAGTTAAAAGCCGCGTGTTTTTAAAAAGGTAGAGACATGCACCTACATAAAAAATCACATTATTATGTTCAAATAACTTGATTTCTTGAACGAAAGTTGCTATGTTTCATGTAGAGCTGCAGCATATTTCCTCTGTTAAACTCAGTGTTCCAAATCATGAGTACCGCATCAATCTGTGAGGGTGAAAAATTCGTTGTTTATATACTAAAAACTGTCAGTGTATATTTATTGTTAATGACCACTACACCCTTTTGTCTCGACGTTTACTCTGTATATTCCTATAGCAAAAGCCATTGGGTGTGAAGAAAGAGAGTCAGTGAATGTAACTTATTTTTTAAAAGTTAGGTGCTAGGTTTGCAGAAGCAATTGGATGTAGAAACATTGAGTGATTCAGTTTCCCTTATTTAGGTGCTGTAAGATTCACGACGCATGTTACGAAGCCATATCAAACCACCCAAATTTGTGTCCCTTCGAATCCAGTGTTTATTGGAAAATATACTCCAGAGACGACACTTGCACAGGCTGCAGTAAGTTTTGTTTCTGTTCAAAAGTCATTTGTGGTCTCAGTATAATCATTTACGACGTTGTAAACACGCGCTCAAGGAACTACCCTCTTTATTGTGATCTGCTATGACCTATGATCTGCTCTCTCCAAAACCACTAAGAGGGTCCCCAATGGGGTTCTTCAATCCCGTAATCCTTACCCAAAATTTCGTGCAATCCCGTAATCCCGAGGGTTATTTGGTGCATTCTAACTCGCGCGCATACTTTCGGTCCCAAATCTTGCCCTATTTTGCTTTGAAATCCCGAATTCCGAGCTTCAAATAACAAGGGAAATCCTGGATCCCGAGAAACCTATTGGGGACCCTCCACTAAATATTAAAGCAAAATTCGAACAGAGTAAAATTGTTTTACCGCAACCCGTTGGTTAGATGACTTGACAATCGAATCCAAACCGCGGCATTTTATAAAGCTATCCGAGTATGTGTGTGTATGGTGAATCAACGAATTTTAATTTCCGTTTAACTTATTCGTTAACGTTTGATAGTCTCTCGACCACTATGTTTATAAATAGTACAATTTTTGCAATAACTGAGAGAATCCTTGCGCGCTGATTGGTCGAGACCTATGGTCTATGAGAGTATAGACCATGAAATGACGTAACATGTCACCAAGTGCCGGTTTCTTTTTTTTTTGTTTGTTTGTTTTTCGTAAAAAAATAATAAATGTTATTGTAAAAAACAAATCGACCACGATGTTTCATGGTCTCTTATAGCCCACAGAAATGACGCCATAAATTGTTCAAAACTTTGCAGTGAAACCACTCGCCTGCGGCTCCTGGTTCCACTTGAGCTTTGAACATTTTATGACGTCATTTCTATGGTATATGAGAGTGTAGACCATGGAAAATTGTGGTCGATTTGTTAAATCTGTTTACCATAAACCCTTTAAAACGGTTAAGTGTCCTCTAAAACAGATCAGTGAGAGGTTTCCCTTCAACGCTTTAGCTCTGAAGAAATGTTAGAGACGTTTATATAGTGGTGGCAGAAACTTGCCCCCTACCCCCCCTAGCCCCACTCCAACAATATATTTAAAACCTCTACAAACGTTTACGACTTTGCGGTGCTTAACTTCATTAATTTTCAATCTAACTGAAATGTGGTAACTTGACCAATTTTAAATTTTAAGACCCTCTTTAGAGCTGTTTTGATGAATTTTAGCCAACTGGTCCGTCTCAAAAGTTGCTAAAACCGTGAAAGCTTCTATCATTGGTGAGTTTTTTACATAGAAGTCCTTTTTTTCAGTTCTTGGAACTGACTCTGTCGTTTCTTTTTGTTTGTCCTCCCTATAGCTGACGAAGAAGGGACATGTGGCCGTGCCATTTGCGATTGCGATGGAGCAGCGGCCCGTTGTTTTGCGCAAGCGCAGTACAATTCAGAAAACTTTAACTATCCACAGGAAAATTGCTGAATATTCTCCAGTCAAACAGGAATGTCAAATTGAACAAGACAGCGGGCTACGTACTTATATCGCTCCTAAAATATTAAGCAACATGAGTGTAGTTTAAAAAACAACTTGCATTAAACTTCGTATTCTTAAGACATAGCTATAAAATAGCTATTGCAATAGTGTATGTACTTGTATTGGTCCTGCAAATAAAGCTTGTTGTTGTAGTATACTAAGATTAAAACTGTGATAAACTCAAACTATAGATATGCTTTATACCTTTTCTCCTTTTAAAATTATTAACATAACCTCAACCTCCGGTGCTGCTTTGCCTGAGCTGTTTACTCGGTAAAAAAAAAACAACAACAAACTTCAATTGGACTAAATCGCGCTATAGGCACAAAACCCGTAAAAGCATTTATTATTGGGCTGCCTGTGGCCAATCGAAAAATGAGTCGAATCTATGTCGAAAAAAGACAAAAAGGCGTTGCGTGTCCTATTTCCCTTGCAGTGGGACCAACTTCTGAGCGGAGAGGGTCCCTGCGTTTTTACCATGAATTCAACGGCATCCTCCTGGGGACGAGGTTGCCATGAATTTTCCATTCATTGAAAGCCGTATCGAGTGATTTTTTATAGTTTGTACTCAGTTTTGGAGCAGCTATAAACTCAGCGTTGAAAATATTAGACCACTGCAGCCCAAAACACGGGTAGTATAGGCGTCTTATTTAAAATACACTTCAATCAAATCCTTGAAGCAGGGTTTAGCCATGTAAAAGTGAGGGGCACTAAAACGAATCCAATAGCTAACTATATAACATAGGCACGTTAAACGTGCATGAGCTATTTTGAATACTTCGGTGTAACCTTACCAAGAATGATGAATCTACCTTTTTCATCCTAAATGTAGATTTGGTTTTTGTGCGAAACTGGGTATTGCGCTACATAAATGAAAACGCGAAACGCTCAGCTGAGTCGATCCTCAACCTATATATTCACTTTCCTCTGTCTTTTCCTGTTACATCTGGTGCAAGTTGAACAAATTGTTAAAGTAAAATAAATTTATACTCACCAAACGTTGATTAGAAGGAAAACTCTAAGGTTTCCTCGGAGTTTCTTAAGCCAAAATGTGACTCATCGAATACTGAGTAGTTACGAAATACAAGGATTTTTATAATTGTGGTAGATGGTTGCATCATCATAATTCACGAGGTTTTCACGTGCGATTCTACTCAGTGAGACAATCTTTAACTCCGACAACTTATTTCTTCATGTTTTAAAAGCTATTGCTTCTCAAAAGACAAGAGCCCTTTTTAGGGCATTGGTTACTAAACGAAACAGGTCTTCATTCGTCCAAGTTACTATTATTATTGTGAAAAGCCAATCTGCATGAGATGTACAGTCACACAGCTGGCACGTGAGAGTGTTGGACTTTGCCCCCTTTCGTGGTTCGTACGTGAGGGAATTCGAGTTATCACACAGTAATCTAGTAAACAGAATTATAAAAATAACTCATGCACACAATTTGCATGTGAAGATGTTGGTCTTTGGCCCTTTTACAATTCGTACATAAAAAAAAAGGCAAATTGTTTTACTACAAAATTTTCTCAAGCGATTTTCAGAAATCACCTCGGCTTTATTACAACACCTGCAATTAAATTATGTTTCATGCAACGTCAAGGTTGATAGCCTAACATTTATTAACTTCCAAGACAATTATCAAACTGCTGAAATATATTTCTACTTTTATCATGTTACTCCACTCAATACAACAGTATCTAATTATTGTGTCAACTAGCTTCTTCCAATTTTATTCCCTAACGCTACTGCTTTTACTTAAGTTACGCGTCTTTACTAAATAAAATACGTTTCAGAAACTATAATACTTAGTATGCAGGAAGGATGTATCATGTTGTTCACTTATTATTCTTTTTTTTTTTTGTTTTGCCAGAACGAAAAAGGTCTGTTGAACTTTGTAAGCGAGAGAATAATGTTTTTAAAGCTTGTTTACAGGATTAACAATACTCGGTACAGGTTTCACAAAAATAAGCTGCCTTTTTAAACTTCTAAAACCACATTTTATAGGGCGCATACTTTCGAATTAAAGTCTATATCTAAGTATCAATTATTGCTTCATTGGAAGAGCTTTGAAAATATATGATCTTTTATACTCTACCCAGTTGTAGCAGGTGAAACAGAACTCATACTGACGTGCGTTGTACTCATAGCCGAATTAGGTCAGAAATGCCTTGAAGCAGCATCCATACTAAAATATGAACCCTTAACGGCAGCTGCATCATTGTACACAGCGTTTGAATCATGAAGATATTTAATGTAATTCTTCCAAACACCTCTAGCCGTAATAAAAGACGAAAAAATTGTGAAGAATAAAGATGGCGGTCTCAAAGTGCCCTTGTTCGACCTTTACCAATGTCATGTTTAAGTAGATGCTAAGATCTCATTGGTTCCTAAGCATCAACTAATAGTACCTTCAACCTTATTGGCTCTTGCAACAAACATCCGAACATACAAAGTTACAAAGATACAAAGATACAAAGATACAAAGATACAAAGCCACAAAGATACATACGCTCACACCACTGACATATGAGCTATTTTTTCAAAATAGCTCAATAAAGGAGTGACAGGGATAAGGGGAGGTGAGAATGAAAAGAGATAAACTCGAACTATGCTTTTTTCATAACTGCACTATTGAAAAGAATAACTGTGGAGAAATTGTCGTTTGCAATTTGTAACCTATAGCTGATGGTGAAGCAGATATGATTTCCGAACTGATTGCTTACAAAATGTCGATGCATTGACACCAGAAAGGGATTTTCTGCCCGGGTGGGTACTTAACAAAAGTTTGTTCGGGGAGGTTCCGCCTCGAGGTCCACTTCCTTACCCTTTCATGTACCATTTTCGACAGAACACGGCACTCCTTTCCTATACCTTTTTTGTGACAAATGGCAAATACCTCAGTTTTACTGACAAATGGCACCCATTTCAAATACTTGTGTAGAGCGCAGCATCCATTCTAACTGTTGTCAATGCAACGTCTTTTAAATATGAATAAATCACTAAACCAGAAAGTTATCTTGCTTTTTCCGCAGGCATAAAATGCGCCTGATAGTCGTTTTAGGTCCTCTCGCAGACCGTAATGACAGTGTAGTGAACCCCCTACCCTTTTATATACCTGAGGCCCGAAAAAGGTACCCCTTTCGGGTGGGGCCTCCCTGGTAGGGCATTTTAGAGAGTACCCCAGGGTATCAGGTTAGAAAAGTTAATTAAGCAACCACTAAGGAGATTTTGCATAGCCATGTTTGCAGGGCCCTTTTCTTCCTCCCTCAAGAGAGGACCCTGATCCCGTCAAGTTACATCCAAGCTGTGGCACTATCGATCTGATTCTCCTCAATTACCCGCTCTTTATTTCGCTACCGTGATGTCTTCTTGTCAAGAGGAAAGAGTGTCGTTTGAAAAATGTTTACAGTGCATCGAGGTATGCAGTTGCTTCTAAAAAAAACAGTCGAATTATCGTAGTTCAGGTCTTTCCATGGTCGTTTTGATACAAGTTGATTTAGTCGAGGAGTAAATAGTTTCACGTCCTTGCCTTAGAGAACGAGAAATATTCACCCCAAATGTTTCTGGTCTCTCCCAATTTATAGCTGAAGTGATCGAAATTGTTGTAGTTTCATTGGTTGATTTCTTTTATCGACATGACCGGTTTCCCTAATGGTGCTTACATACACAGGTGGCACAGGTGCTTCTTATACTGTAGGAGGCAATAATTTTGCCCATTGGTAGAACAAGTAACTGATGATTAGTTAACGTTTTATAAGCACGTTCGAATTCGTTTGATTTCTTCTCAGTGACAGTCTCTGGAACGTGGGGGAGGTTCTCATAGGAAAGGAAAAGAAGTGGATGTGCTCGTCGGATAATTGGAGTAAATATCCTAAAGGAAGGAAAACTAGGCGTGGCTCATTCTTTCCTTGAATACTGAAATATACCATTGTAAAGTAGACAGCCAAATAAGAGCTATATAGTAATCTCAAATCTGATAAATAAACTGTCATTGAATGCTTTCTTTTTTTTCTTTCCTTCTGTTTCTTTATTGCTTGAAGTACAGTTCTAAGCGATACTTGTGTGCGTGAAAATATTGACCTTCCATCTTCAACACCCTAGGTGACAGCAAAAGCTGCAACTTACGCTCATAAATACCGAGTATCCCAGCCCTTTTAATACAGCGGCATCATCGTCTCAACCAGTCCAACCCCGGCATTCATTATAGCGCTCTCAATATGAGAAACCAAGATTGAGAGATTGTCAAATCATTATCAACTGTCTTATATAAATCTGTTATATTATTTTATCATGACCAATCCCGGCCAGTCTGTGGAGACTGCCTTGATTGTGTCGCGAATGTGGCCACCTCTAAACATGAAAGCAAATATGAATTAGAAAATAATTTGGAAAAAAACTGTTATTTTTTTGTTGCGTGTGTGATCACTTGTTCCATTTGCTTTGATTTTGAGAAAGAAGACCAAGAGGTTGCTGTCAAAAAAATGCCCAGTAAGTTTTCCCGTTCAGTTTGCGAAACGTAATCTAGACGCGGATATTTTAGAACGGCCCCAAATGCATTCCGTCGTTTTTTGCTCATGGGAGAAAACGAGCAATTCTTAACAGTTTATGAGATGATAAACTGACGCCACGGTATATTCGCGTATAATGTTTCAAAGACATTCATTTTAGTTTGGTACTGGATGCATAATTGTTGCGTCGTTTGTATAGAGTGAAGAGATTCTCTTCAGCTAACTGAAGCTTACGCGTAGAACAAAAACAACAGAAAAGATAAAATGGCATTTTTTGTTCTTAGTCCTATGTCAAAAATTTTAATCTATTTTAACTTATAATTTTTGTGTGTGTCAAAGACCCAATGTCTGATAACATTAGAACTTGTGGTAAAAAGATTTCACCGCGTTAGTTGAGGGGTTTCCGTGTTACGTGCATAATAGAGCGGACTCTCTCTGCTGGGAATAATGTGCCCACATAGCTTTGTGTGCTGTGTTTTTCCCACGGGGTACTTTTGAGAAGTCAAAATAACGAAACATTATTTGAATAAAAATTGCAAATCCATTAACTCCATTAGCGTGGTCGTACTAAAACGAGTAATAATTACTTTATTTATGCTTTCAAACTCTCACGAACTTGTTGAAGTTAACAAATACTGTTGTTATTGAAAGACAAAACAATCATTTTACCTCCCTTCAGCTGTTAATATCTATCGTTTTGCGTTGTGATAGGTTGTTCAACTTATTATAGTCGAACTGTTCAATGTACAGTACAACGCGTTCAAAAATAAAGAGTAAAGCAGCACTCAAACTTGAAGCTCAGAATGATGATTATTCTAACAGCTTCTAACCTGCGACTGGGAAGCGTTCGTCTGCCTGGGGGGCTACTTGTAGCAGAGCTGTCTCTCTAAGCCAGTGGAATGCTGTTTCAAAGTAATTTGAAATAGACTGGAAATAAAACTGGAAAGTTCGTTCGATTCGCGAAAGAACGAAAAATGGCAAAGTTGTATTTTTCATTATATAGATAGTACTCTTTGAACATAGCCGATCCTAGGTAGCAGGATTTACTGGTCGCGTGTTACATAATTATTATGAAGCTAGTGTATGGCTTTGCTCTGAGTGAGTCTTTCTGAAGCTTCACGGATAAAGAGCCCACCTGTTGCTTAGGATTTCATAGATGTTTGCATCCTGTTGGGAACTCGAAATGTTCGTTTTTCCGGCGCTAATGACATGACATTATTGGACGTTCCCTTTTAAAACGCGTGCCTTCCAAATGGTGAATTGGGATAGTTGGGTTTACCCCTCGAACACTATTATACTCTAACTTGTTCCCAGAGCTTTTCCTTTGCTCACTATTTAGGAGGTGTGGGACCTAGGAAAGAGGCTGTATTCCCCTGTTCGCATATTCATTTTGTCACTGATCATTGAAAATTCCGCATGAACCAAGGTCCTTATTATTGCCTTTCAGCTACCCACGTCAGATATAGGGGAAGCCTGTATCAGTTTTACCAGATGATTTCCTGTGCAACCAATAATAATCCTCTCAAATACAATAGCTATGGCTGCTTCTGCCGACTCGGATGCACAGGAACACCAGTGGACAACCTGGACAGGTAAACCTTTTTGGAGTATCCCGTGCATTTCTTTAAATGATTATTATCATTTGTTTTTGGGGGGGCTTTGTTGATTCCTTCATCCACATCAACAGCACTACGAATAAGTCCTAATTAGAAAAAGCTAATCTTAATTGCGTGAAGTGTCAGACGCTATATATGCCAGTCAGGACAATCGAGTCGAACCGGTGTGATTACACAAAATGTCCGCTTTTTTGGTGTTTCATACTCGAAGCTACATTCTTAATCAACTTTAATTTTTGCCTGCTACTCCTTCTCGTCTAGCTCTACAATTGAGCAAGAGAGATAGACTCTTAAAGCTTCCATCTCGATATTATCAGTATAAATTCAGACCGTTTTCTTTTTCAATATCTGAGGTGTTGTCAAAAGCACGATGCATGCTATAGACAGATCAACCTAGACAAACGCTGCAGATTCCCTGGTACACTTACGTGAAATCGTACGAAAGAAAGGATTGTACAGGATGTGGTATGAGAAAAGCATTCAGTTTTTTAAGTTTGTCCACATCCACTCACACACCCCACTTACGAGGCAGCATCTAGAGGTTACGTCTTTTAAGCCCAGTGCAAACGGACGCAACATTGTTGGCCAACAACTCCCAACATTATTGGATGTTACATGTTGCGTCCGTTTGCACACCCAGTGCATAGTTGGGAGTTGTTGCATCCGTTTGCACACCACTGCCAACAAGCAGGCAACAATTCCCAACATTGTTGGCGCAACAATGTTGGGAATTGTTGCGTCCGTTTGCACGCAGCCTTAGGATTTTGTGAATCCCTCACAGGTATCAAAGAAACGTTGACTTTGTCTAGTCCCTGTTCGACGTTTTCCCAGGCCCTCTCGCTCAATTCATTCGCCTGGACCACGTGGCCTGAAACACTTCAGCCGCGCGAAATAATGATGCCTAGGGACAAGGGAAACGTTGATCAAGGTGCGAACTAAGGTCAAGGACCTCAGTACCATAAATAGTTTTTCCTAACAGACCAATCAGTGTCTACGTTCATGGTTTTTCCCTCTTAATTTTCATCTGGTTGGATCTATCGGGAAGTAAGAGACTTGTCAGCATATCTCTTCGGATCAGTAAAGCACACAACCCTGCTGGTACCCCCAAAACGCAGCGGAATCAGTGAATGCAATTTTTGGACCTCATGTGTTTTCAAAGCTACAACCGGGGACGGGAATCTTGAGACAGTATTCTCAAATGGGTAGCTTTAGCCAACAAAACGACCCACACCCCTCCCATCCACTCAGAGTCGTGATTTTTGCTGCTTCTTACAGGTACCTCGAACAACGGCACAACATTGCATAGATGGGGTGAGGGTGGTCAGAAAGGCTCTTTAAGGCAAAATGTCGCAACTAATCTTGTCGCCGATTGTAGCTTGAATGGTAATGGAACCAATGCCAAAACACAGTCATAGACTCAGAATCTACTATATTTCAGGCTTTCTTAGCTTGCAAATGCTTACGTTGTTCACTTTAAGGTTTTGTTTATTTGAATTTTTGTTTTTTGCCCTTGCAGACTCTGTCAACGACGACTGCCAGAGTGCCATCTGCAAATGTGATAGTGTTGCAGCACAGTGTTTCGCAAAAAATAAGATAAATCCAGTGTATGAAAAGTATCCACAAAGGAAATGCAAATAAGAAATAAAAGATTGTAATGCAAAGGCACAACTTTACAATTCTCAATTTATCACTTGTTAGCAACTGATTACGTCCTTGACTCTTTTTCCTTCCTGACTTCTTCCACTATTATAGTCCAAAAAAGAAACAAAAATGGTTTGCCGATGCGAAAGGAAAATGAGAAATCTCTGGAATGCAGGGTAGGAACCACTGATACTAATAACCACATTTTGTCAATTGTTGGCTTCTGATGCAGTCAGTACACAGGCAGCCCATTCTGCCCTCGCCTGCAGAACAGGCGATATTGGAGAAACTCGGGCGAATTTTGGGGTATGGGCGAGAAGCATGAGAAGGAAACAGACACTATGAAACGCCACTGCTATTCAAGGGATGCCCTCTATTACCTGGCAATCGCTCGGTGTCGCTGACTCGTTTTGAATATCCGAAACAAAGATTCCCATCTGTCCAAGAGCAATCCGGAGGTCGGACCCAAATCTTCAAAAGAAAAAAAGGCAAGAAAGGCGAACCTATCAAAGGGTGGGCCAAAGAAAGCAGGTAAAAAAGAGGGGGATCAGCTAATCAAGAAATTCATCTGTGAAGAAACCTACGACACATCGCACTCCCAAAACTGCCTGAGCCCCCGCCCCCCTTCCTCCCCCAAAAGAGAAAAAGCCTCGAAGCCACGTGTCGACTGATGAAGGCCACATCGTGTCGACTACTCGTAGTCTAAGGGCCTGTTTACATGGAGGTGGGGGACCCCAGGCAGGTGAGGTAACCCGCTTAGGTGGGGTAACCCCCCTGTCCATATAATCGCTCATTTTAATTTGATCACGTTTACACGATAGGTAAGGTGACCCACCACATGTCAGGGGCACCCAATGGATCTGTTCCTCAAAATATCTGTTCTTCATGCAAATTTTTGCTGGCTGGGAGATGTGGAAGAAATAATAGTCCTTGGAAGGAAAGTGTTGCTGGGAAAAAGATAATTCAGGGTGTCAGAGGGGATTTGAAGTCTAGAATAGCTGCTACGTGTTACTTGTATGGGTTGCTTACCACTCAAGATCTGAATTGGGCCCTACGAAACTTCCCAGTAAGTCAGGTTGCAGGTTGTAAGGTTGCTGGCTGGGAACTCTTCCATCAGTCTTGCTGGGAGTGAGGAACAGATAATTTTTTTCCAGCAATCTCCCAAAATGCTTAAAATAGTCTCAGAAAACTTTATTCACGCTTTGTTGTTGTTTTTAGGTCTTTTTCTCAAAATTTCCCGTTGGGTGCCCCTGACATGTTACCCCACCTAGTTGGGGTCCCCAATCTCCATGTAAACAGGCCCTAACACCACAAGGTCTAAGATTGGGTTACATTTAAATGATAAGTAAAATTTATTTTTGGTAAGGAACAATGTATTTGAAAGTTTTCATAAAAATGTCTTTAACTGTATGTAGGAAGCAATATTAGTGCCAGAACGTTTGCTCATCATGTAGAAAAAAAACGGGAAAGCATTTGATTACAAAGCTAGGCTCCAGTTGGTCAATTCTCGGCTTGCACTGTCACGCAATGAAAAATAAAAATGCAAACCATTCAATACAGAAGGGCTAGAATCTGGGAAATAAAAAAAGATAAATATACAAAAATCCTTGCCAAGAATCAGGTCTGTGAAATATTTCAAATGCGAGATATTGGGAAAAACGGTTTACCTAAATTTATAAAGCTTTGTATGGAAACGCCATGTTGATGTCCCTTCAGGAACACCAATATGGCCGCCGGATACCATCAGAAACATCTGTTTTCGAGTTTTCCTACTAATGCGTGAATTCTTCGCTTGAGGAACTCATAAAGATTACAGCAATATTTATTCTGAGACAAGGAATGTGTAGATTGCAAAATCTCCCAAAATCGGTAATATTTTTATTAATTAATAATTTAACCAACATAAGAGCTTTCCCGGCCGCCAGCTAAATGCCGCGTCACGCAATAGCCTGGAAATTCAAGCGTTCCCTCTCGCAAAACGAAGAACCCTTTCCAACCAAAAATTTATTTATGTGAAGATGTTTAGGTACTGTAATACCTCGTGAAAGTAGAAACTCCGAAGAATCGATAATTTCTTAGTTTGATTTTTGGTGACGTCACGTGCAACCCAAGAATACATGGATAAAACTCAGCCGCGCGAAGTCTGGGAAAGAGAAGTTCTCAGTGACGTCACACTCACTGTAGAGTCCAGGATTTACCTAGCCGAGAACGCTTAGGGACAAGGCTGGACAAAGCTGTCTTATGCAGCGGTGAGGGTAACAGACGGGACGAGTCTGAAGAATGGCATGTGGCATGACTTGCAGATGTAATAGGTGGAAAATGGCCCAAAGCGATAAATTAAACAGGAAAGCACGCGCACGTCTTTGCCGCGCCTTTTTTGGCGCCAATTTGAGCGAGCAACCACTTTGCCGGTCCATTTATTACTGCTGGCTCAAACCAACAAGGCAGAGCAGAAAGCAGCGATAAGTTTTACTGCATTCGTGTCTATGTAATAATTTTGGGTTTTCGACAATACTTTCTCTCTTTTTGCCCACCATTCTAATATAATCAAATGTCAAAACGCTAGAGGGAAAAGTCGGAGAAGAACACTTGTTAAACGTGAAGTCAGGCTATCTACAATTCTAGGTAACGGATACGGTGAACGAATCAGACAATATTTCAGACTGAATGAACACCCTGAGGCAAACATTAATCTGTAATCCAGAAATCGAGTGGAGCGAACTGCTCTCTGTCTCCCTTCGGCCTTTCGCGTGTCTTCGCACCTTCCTTGCTTGTGTGAGTGTGTGCGTTTGATCGTGAAAAAATGCTAAAACGGTAGGAAGAAAACTTAAAAATATCAAAAAAGACACGCTCAATTGCCGAACTCTCCCTTCTCCGCCAGCTGCTAGCTTCGCGTGCCGGGAACTCAACCACACGTAGCCAAGGAAACAAAATACAAGATCTGATCTCTGAATATTATATCAAGATCACGTAACCCACCGTCTGAGAAAGAAACACTTCTCACGTGGTACACAGATATCGGTAAAAGGAAACTGTTAAGTCAGTCGTGCAAACATCTTTTGCAGAAAAAATTAAAGTAGAAGGGAGCGTGACCTTCAAAACATTTTTTCCTTAATTGCCGACTTTCGTGATGTAGTATCCGTGCCGCCATGCAACCCGACTAATAGAGGCAAGAAGAATCTTTGTGGCTGTGCGGAAAAAGCTAATCGAGCTTGAGAAATCAAGGAGTCCTTCGTGGATTTTTGATTGTCATCGTATGTCGAGCCCGTAACATTAAAAAAAGCGGCGCATTTGCAAATTGATTGGCGCCAAGAAAAGGGCACACTTTTCAGTTTAATTTATTTCTTTGGGTCATTCTTCGTATATTACGTTCCCCATAATTGTGTCATTCCGCAAACTCCTTCCGCCTTTTACCCTCACCGCTTATGCAAGGGATAAAGTAATTGGATTCCCTAATACTTATCCAATGAATTTCTATTTATCCGGTGCATTAGCGCCATTCAACGTTTGAATAACAGGGCCAGGTGTTCAGTGTATTATCTGCAACTTGATTAGGGATTTATGTCGACATTCGCATTCGTGAAAAAGTACAGTGAAACCCTGGTTATAAAAGTGTTGATTGGTACGTACTCTCAGAAGACAGACACACATCGGGGCTTTGTTAACTCCATTGCGAAAAGACACATAATATTGGCAGTCTTTACACTAGAGCCTAAATAAGCTAAGAAATGTTTCAAGACAAGTAAATTTTAAATTCTTCAAGTAAAAGAAAGCTTCACACACAACCTATTTTTTTTTAAATTCAGGTTTATGCACCAGTCATTAGGGAACTTAAGAACCACGACGAAGTTCACGACGACGACGTCTGTTGACTGGGAAAAGACTGGAACGAGAACGTCGGTTTCGGCGGGAAAAAGGAAAGTTAAGATGCGGTCGGTCGGTAGGTCGACGACGACGACACTGAATGTAAACACAGATGTAAAACTGTGCTGTTCGTTCGCAACAAAGTTTTTCGAAATGGCGTCTTTCAAAACAACGCAAGATCTTATTTGTTCAAGCCGTACGTCTAATTTCATTGACGATGAAAAATTTTTTGTGCTGTCTGACCTTTTCGAGTGGAAATACACCTACTTTCCATACGAAATTATTCAACTTTCAACTTGAATGAGATGGCCGAGTCCGAGTGTCCGTCAGAGTTTAGATTTCGAAAAAGAGACATTCTGATGTGATAGCTGTTTTCCATATAAAGTTTATTTCCTCTATATTAGAGATATATGATTTGCCTTACCTAAATACGTACAAATAAATTTATCACAATTCACTTACGAGTTCGCTCGCTCGGCCTCCTCAGCTGTTGCTATTCTTCAAAGTAAAATCAATTCATTAGTCGAATTTTCAATCAACATCGCTTGTTTGGAGAAAAAAGGAACGATACCTGGATTTAGGAGGACAAGAAAATGTAAAGGCCTTCAAAAATCGCTTAAAACAGTGGATTTATACCTGCCGAAGCTTGTGGATTGCAGGACGACGTGATTCTACTTTGTTTGGCGTCGTCGACGACACCACGACGACGAAATTTACTAGTCGCGCTTGCGCAGTACGGTGTAACTCACTTCCGGTCGTCGTCGACCAAGCCGTCGTCGTGGTTCTTAAGTTCCCTATTTGAAACCCCCGGACGACGTTTGAAACCAAGTCGAGCTACTGCCGTACTAAAGTCGAATTTGATTCACTGCTACTGAACCGCAGTAGCCACGTTTGAAACGGGCCTAAGTCTGTTTTAAGGACGGTTTTCAACTAACTTGAAACTTTCTTGAATCGTGTCAACTTTCCGACTTCAATGAGATGCAAAGTAAAGTTACTTGAGATTTTACTAAGACCTTCACTCACACATTTTTGGTTAAGTAAAACTTAGCAGTTCTTAAGTCTTTCTTAAAGCTTGGTTCTCATATGCGGCCGATGCACCTGCGACATGGCCGCTGGTACTGCCTGGGATACCGTTCCGATATGAGAACAGAAGTGGCCGGCATCATTGGTCATCCCAGTCTTTATCGCCGGCATGCCTGCGAAGTTGTTTCAAGTTCAACTTCGCAGCCATGCCGGCGGTAAAACTCTGCGATGGCTCTAGTTGTCGGCAGCGCATGTTCTCATTCGTCCGTGAAGTAGTCGTACCGGCGGCTACGTTGCACGCAAATACATCGGCGGCATATGAGAACCAGGCTTATTACTGTAAAGACAACCATTACGAGTTTAACTAAAGCTTTCGTGCAGAATTATATCTTGAAATAGTCTCGAGAAAGAAAACAAAATGCCCGACATATTTTTGCTATTTACACGATAGACTAAAATTCCGTCCGAATTACTGTTTCAGTTTCTCTTTGTACGAATTCTCTTTTAATGTTAGCTTTCTCTTGATGCTAAAATTTCGATTCGAAATCGTCCTTACTTCCGGTTAAAACGTTAAACGGCGCTTTTCTGTTTCAATTCACTTTTTTGTCAATAATTTCCTCATCACATGAAAGATCAAACTCAGTCTTCTATTTAAACTGAAACTGAAAAATAACAATTGGCCTGAATTGTCGGTCTGAATATATCCGGTAACATTTTTTTTACTGAGAAACATCTACGGAGAGAATGTGTTTCGTACAGAGAGCAATTTGGCTATCTGCTTTATTCGATCCGTGGTTCCTTTTAATACCGGCAAGAAAGCAGACCTTTGCCAAGGTCAGATAATCTGAGATAGTGGTAAGAATATTCTTGGGAATCAGATGAATGACCTTATCGCCCAGGTACTTGGCAAATAAAAGGCATTAGAAACTTGTCTATTCTGAGCAGCTTAAAAGCTTCTTGTACTCTTCAGTTTATTCTATCACGTTCGATCATTACTCGAAACTTGAAAGGCCACATTTTCTTGAGAGTATAATGGCCTCCGTCTGCTAATCGGAGTTTGGTTTCTGGAATGATAAATTGCTCACTTTCCATTCGGCTTTATTTGTTTACTATGTGGGATTTTGCTGCCACTTTTCGGACGATTTGACAGCTATTTGATTTAGAAACTACCAGAGAAAAGCTTGAGCACAGTGCCTACGACACCAGCATGTAAATACAAAATCCGAATAAAAAACCAAAGTATTAATGAATCATGAGTGTTTAACCCGCGCTGAGCTATTCTAATATGACCATTCTTATTCACTGGCTAGAATTAAAAACGACAAACGGTAAATGTAATAAAGCAAAGAATATCACAAGTAGAAAAAAGAGTTTGGGTTCATTTTCAAACTCATCAGGTTGGAAGGGCAGTGGAAACACTAATTGAATAAAATCACATTTCACAAAGGCAAGGATATTAAATTGTGTTGAATCTGTAAACAGATTTCACCTGTAAAACAGGCAAAGCCAAATTTAAATTTGATTGAAAAACGTTATATAAGTAAATAAGTTATCCAGTGTACTTTTAAAATAAAGGCAGCCTTAAACAGCTGGGACATATTATTTAATTGCAAACGACATTTCTCTGACTAAGATCGGGGATTTCATGGGTTCCCTTTAAATTATATAGTTTTAGTTCACTGGGACGTTTATTGTATTATTGACACTCGGAACAAGTATTAAACGAATCAATAAAACGCACAAGAAACAATATTTATAGCACGTGTAAAAGATATTTAAAATATTCATTTCCCCATAAAAGAGATAAATCTTTGTCATTAACTAGTACGTTTAATATGGAGGTTTCCCCTTTATTTTGCTTAGTTCATCGTTCGGTAGATAATGTTGATTTTGTCAATAGCATCGCACAAGCAAAACATTGTTCAGGATATGCGAGATTTTGTAAAATAGGTGATACGCTGCCACTTAGTAGCACGGGTAACCTTAGCGCATTAGCCTGTAAACAGGCTCTGTTTGGCGAAAAAAATAACAAAGGCTATAGCGCATGTGTAAACACATCGACGAAGTATGTTGTGGAGGTCACTAAGTTTCTACACCAATGGGTTGTTCCTAGTATAAATGATACCACGGGCCAAAAACTCCCTAGTTCTCTCACTATAAGTTTTTATGGTCTTGCCTGTGAACAAAACACACTTACTATTGTCATCTTTGTGGAAAAAATGAATAAAGTACACCTAAACAGAATTAAACACGGCAGGTGGCAAAAATTAATTCAAAAAAATTGTAAGGAGAGCCTTTGTTGTTTATTCTATTTGATTAAAGAAGAATTACAAACGAGAACAACAAAAAGAAATTTGGAAGTCAAACAGCAAGGATGCGGAAACCGACTTAGCTAGAAAATGATTCCTTTAAACCGTCAATTCGGTGCGTAGATTTCTATGACTGAACGTGGAGAGCATGACAAAAGGGGCTTTATTCCAGAAGATTGATTTACCGCATACGCAATAAATTAAAACCACCGCAAGAGGTTTTACATATTTATTAGTACATGTTTTATTAAGCTTAAACAGATTACCAAGGCCACGTAGACATAAAAATTAGCGAATGTCACCACTATATTCGTCTAAACTAACAGGGTTAAATAACTAGTTTCACATTTCCTCTTTCACCCGCGAGTTAAGGTTTCAGGGGTTTTACAGCTTAAGTATTGTCCTTTTCCATTTATCAAAATTAATTCAAATTTGATGCTAGAAAAGAAAAAAGAAGAGATTTATTTTAATTAAGTGGGCGGGCAAATATATTAAAAGTTGAAAATCAGCTTGAGATGACACAGATATTGCACCGATTCAGCGGATTGACAGTTTCGCATGTGCTGTAGTGGATGGAGTTAGCGCACCTACGCTCTTCAAGCTTAGTTGTGTTTTCGCTGCTTCGACGAATTAACGCATCTTGAAAGTAGCCGTACGTTCTTAAAAACCCACCTGCCTGAAAAGCGTATTAGGGAAAAGGGATTTTTAAAATTGGATTGCGCTAATTCTCTTTCTGCAACTGTGAGTTTTGGACGCGTTATGTACAAATGTATTGGAGCCGTGTTTTCAAAACGAAAGTTGTTTACACTGGACTGCTCGTTAAGCGACATCTTCGTATTGACTGTCACACAGTTTTGGCAACAGCCATAAACTATCAAATACTTTGTCTGTTTAAGAATTTATCTGTCGCTACAGTGAAAATTTACTGAGTTAAACCGTCAGGAACCTGTCCACGAATGGACACGAACATTTGTATATAGGTGAGATATTGGTTAGTGAAGAACCGTTAGGTTTCGTCGCGGTGGTTAGCTATCATCTCCGGTTAATGAAAGTTGCGGTATATCTAATTTGGATCATCCACTGATTTCTACATCCTTACTTATATACTAGTGACATATCATCATTCGTCAAGGGGAACTGAAGACCAAAGCGAGACTTGATCGCAGTGAGATGGTCATAGCGAAGCAAATTACAGCGGTTGATGTGGTTATTAGCATCTTAGCGGTAATTACTTTGATGGCAAACGGTACAGTGTGCATTCTGGTGTTCACAAACAGAAATCTTAGAACGTATACAAACGGATTTATCGTTTCGTTAGCCGTGTCCGACATTCTAGTAGGTGTGGCCTTGTTTCTTCAGTACGCTTTATCGATGGACAATAGGATAGTGCTCAACGTCTTATTTACCACTGCATTGGTAGGGAGTGTAGCGAATTTAACAGCGGTAACATTCGACCGACACTTAGCTTGCACACAGCCCTTCGATTACCAAAACATTATAGCAAGGTATTTCATCAAAATCGTGGCGTTTTGCTGGACAGCAGCCGTCATATCTGCCCTTCTTCCACTTAGCTGGCTCGAAAGCAATTCTGCAGCCTTAGCCCTGAGGATTTACCAGTTTGGCATTCTAATCATCTGCATCGTTGCACCTTACACCTGGATTTTCCTCTGCTACTTACGACTTTTTTGGCAAGTTCACAAAATCGTCAAGCGAGAGAGAAAAATGGCTATGCACGTACGTGGAGCTCACCAATGCTGCGAAAGAACCAAAAGAGTGTCTTCGGAGGCAAAGATCGCTAAAGTTTTCTGTGTCATCGCTTTCCTCTTTGTAGTCAGCTGGTTGCCAATCATTTGGACGACTTTTGTTTATGCAATAGGCAAGCCTTATTTGATGCCAGAGGTTATGCATTCTCTTTCTTCGTTCACTTTGGCTGTTGGTTCTGTTATAAACCCTATACTGTACTCATTTTTGAAGCCAGATTTCCGAAATGTCTACAAAAAAATATTTTGCTTGATTCCGCGCGGCGAAAAGCGCACGTACAAAGATGACAACGCATTCACTCGCGCCACGAACCTAACGAAATCGGCCTCCAGGTTACTCCAGGAACAAACGAATCTGTAAGAAACTGATGTTTAATGTGAAAAAATAAAGATATAGCTTTACACTCCCAGGATCTATATTTGCTAAAGAACGGTGTAAGTCAATATGGAGATCTAGATAGTAAAAGAAGATTAGTCTTTTTTTCCACAGCAAGCACTATGGTCTGGCATTAAGTGAATCCAAACCATTGCGCAGGCTCGCAACCTGAATACAAGCACCGAAAAAAAAAAATCCGATGCCTGCAGTTATGTGACTTGAACATTTTCGCGGAAAATAAGGACAGTATGCTTACACTTATGTAGTTAGTGAAAACCAGAGTTAAAAGTTTAAGAACGTCAAAAATTCTTCATTTCATAAAGAAAAATTAGGTTGCACAGAAACGTCATTTTGCAAACGAATTTCCGGGTTCATTTTTTGCGGCACGTCAAACGAAAATAGCTTTTTTAATGAAATCGAAACGTGCTTTTGAAAACCATAGCGCCATTACTCAAAGCGATCCGTTCCGCTTCCGCCATTTGTTTAAAATGACATGAAAAAACTACAGTTAATGGTCGCTATCACGTAAGTCGAAACGGATCCAGTAAGCATATCGAAGTAATAGACTACTTTTAAGCTGATGGTGTATTCAGAGAAAGCCCGACTGGTAACGCACGTGTCCGTCCCAAAAACCAGGCCCAGGCGCGTAAAATGCTGGCAAATATTGAACTATATGTACAAAAAGAACCAAAAGAGAAATGTTTCTCTTTTCTCGTACTCTGAAGCTGATCAGCAAAGTATCTATAATTTTAAGCTGCATTTATTACTAATGTAGATATCTGGTACTCAAATTAGACCAACCTATGATTAAATAGCGGACGTGGAATTGCCGCCTGTCTTCATGTAAAATATTAAAACATTGTTTATGGCTTTTAAGGAGAATCGTTAAGTGTGGTAGGCTTTTACCTACTACCAAAAGAAAATGTACATAAACACACACCCCACGTCAAACAACATTAGCAAAAAAGTGCTATCTAGAATAATGAACAAGACACAGTAAATACAGTAATTGTCAGGCATATATAGTGTATACGGAAATAAGTATGCATTTTAAATTTTTTACAGCAATAAATTTTTGCTTTCTGGCACACTATTCTGAACAGAGTTATCGTACAGTGAAACAAAAGAAAGTCTTGACATGAAAATTATCTGATGAACAGGGCGTATAAATGCGTTATGTTCGCAAGTAGTTATTTTCAGTGCTTTTCTTGTAAGTGACTTCATTTGCTTTTATGGTCGGGATATCACGCTTTTAGGTGTTAGATGATTTAAAACAATTCAAAAACCCTGGGAAAATTACCGAGACATGAATAGAGTTCATAACTTTTTGATTCTGTGATGACACCTCACGAGTTGAACATCATATGAACTTTATAAAAAAAGTGTTTCAGTTTTTTTAGTATTTTGCAAAATATAATTTGCATTTGTTTTGTTGAATTTTAATTACGAACGCAGCAAAGTGTTCCAGCGACAAGCGTCAGCGGCGACACGTGAAAGCTATTCAAGGCGACAGCTGTTCAGAGATCGGAGTGAAACATTAAATTAAAAGCAAATACAACGCCGTCAAAAGCTGTCAAGTGCCTCAGACGTGTCGACAATAAGCAATTAGAAGTGAAAGACGTGAGTATTGATCGAGGGTAACAAGAGCAAAAAACAATAGAATACTCTGATCTAATGTTACAATTACTGCGTGTTCAAACAACACAATGGCGCAGAGTGTAGCCTGCGAGCAAGCTCTTCAGAGCATTCTCTCTCATTCCTCTCTTTCCTCACCCCACCCCTGTACTCCCGGAAGAGCTTGCTCGCAGGTTACGCAAAGTGAAAATCGGAAAAAAAAATTGATTGGTTCTCGGCATTCTTCGTAACGTGCACGACCGGAGCAGGGCGTGGTGGGAAAGGAAACTCGCTTTACTTTTTCCCATCACACCTTCCGTGCCACTGGGGAGAGGTTTAAAATTCCTCACTTCATAAACTCTATGAAGAATGGGTACAAGCTTTTGGCGTAATGATTAATAGGGTCGCTAGGGTGGACAGGCGTTAGTTATGATTGGTCGAAGGCGTTTAAGGCAACCATTCCTCTTTTATTTCCTGGAGAATGGAAAGACGAGAGACGACTGTGGACGGGTCAGGGACAACAGTAATGTATAAATAACAATAGTAGTAAAAATAGCGACTAGGAAAAAAAGCTAAAAAAAGACTGAGTTTTTTGCCATAAAAAGTCACAAAGTCTACTTCAAATCAACAACAATGTCTCAACCTCAGCGACTCACTGATGAGATCTCTTTAACATTCTAAAAGTAAAATGTTTTCTTGTAGTCAATAAAGGGCCGAGCTTTTTTGCTTCGCCCTGTGGCAAAAGTCGTTTGACGCGTCAACTAAACGCACACTAGAACCTTAGAGGTGTATTCACATGTAAATCGGCCGGCGCAACGTTAAGGTGAAAAATCAATCCAACCCAAGCAATGTTGCAGATGCTGAAATTAAGTATAGTTTTGCATCTTCCCAGCTTTTATTGACAGCGTTCACACTGGTTCACGCCAAATCAGATTCTATATGGCGGAAGCTGACTACCACGTACTCATCCACATCGACATGTGTAGGAAATAACTCAGTGGAAACGATACTTCCGCGCGGGTTTTAAATTTACGTACGTTTTCTTCATTTCTTCATTTTCCTGTTGTTTCACCCAAGAAAATCGCTCTCCTTTTGTGCTCACAACTTGATTGTCACGATATCGGACCAGTTTTTTGTTATCCTGCAAGAAAATAAACAGAGAAATACATAAATAAACAACGAAACAATAAAGAAATGTTGAACCTATACTTATTCTAAGGCCCATGTCAAACGTCGAACATATCATGAAATACACAGAATGCTAATAAGCAAAATCCATTGTTCGCGTTCAAGAGCATTAGATGCCTGCAAGAGTAAATCTCTTGCTGCTTGCTAACTCTTGTATTCGCCCCATCTCCCTTCCATATTTTTTTTCATAAATGGTTGTTTTCAAATGCTCTGGGGAATATGAAGTCCTCCTAAAAGTATTTAAAAACAAAAGGTTGTATGCAAAATTTGGCGAAGCGTACTGTGTGGTATTCGATAAACGTCCCTGAAACAGTGGCGGGAACTTGCCATACGGCCTACGAGTCTCTTAAGTTACACTGACACGACCTTTAAAAATGGTGTTTATAGAATGGTACTTAAGGGGAAAGAAAATAGTTACCCCTAGGCTAGGGGGGCTAGGAGACGTTAGAAGACCTTCCGAACGTTAGTCTTCTCTCAGGGTGCGCTCGATAGATTGTATTCCAGAATAAGAATACAGAAACGTTTCGTTACAAATCTGTTGCACCGTGAATTTTGGACCACTTAGACACTAGTAACAACGCAATACTAGATATCGCAACGTAATAAATACAAAAACAAATGATTTCTAGAGTTCATTCCATTTATTCTAATTTCGGAATTCGGTCAATCGAACACGCTTACGGTGGCGACCTGGCAACTCCCTTGGAAAGTGAAATACTTAGGGGCCACGCCCAAGTTCAGAAAGATAAGGAAAATTTCGTTGTCTTGTGTTTACGTACTCAATTAAACGTCGCATCAGGAAATTTCACGTCGTAGCCGTGTGTAGTAACGGCGCGTCAAAGAAATGTGGCGAAATTAATAGTGTGAATGTACGCGGTGCATCTTAACGCGGAAATTTCATAACCACCTTGTTTCCTCGCGGTCACTTTCTTTAAACTTTTGTCCGTTTCCATAGTTTTTTTACAGGGTAAAATCATCTCGGGAAAGCGGGTCACAGATAAAAAATATTATGTTTAGTTCTCCTTAGTTTGATATCTTCGTAACTCTACACAGGAGCATTTTGTGTTGGTGAAAAAGGCACTGAAGTAATGACTTTAGCACAGGATTGACCTCAAACCTCAATATCCCCGTGACATGGTGCCATGTCACCTCGCCTCCAAACCTTCTCGCCAGCAAGAATAGAACTTAGCTTTATTGTTTTAAAAAGTGCCAAGTGTGCACAACAAATGGAGAGAACCTTCATGAATGGAAATTTCTCTTAACCGTTACTTTATTATCATAATTCAAAGAAATTGCTGGTGGTTGTGAAACTTTTCTGCCAGTTTTTTATCTATTTTTTTATCCCTCAAATGTCAACTGAGTTTACATTCACGGAATCTATTATCAGGATCGTCAATTAGGATGGACAAATTTGTATTTCGACTTTAAATTTTAATAAGCTTGACGAAAAAGTAAAACTCCTACGTAGGTAATCCCCGATATTAAACTACCTATGTCAATTATTCCAGAGTTATCCGTTATTATTATTATTAATCGACGGCTTGGGTAGCGATTCGTTGGTGGCGTGAAGGTTTGGTGGTGAGATGACCGTAAACCCGTGCCATAGCCCCCTCAAGAGTTTTATGAGAAGTTCGTGGAGTCTGAATTACGAACACCTGGTAAACGGGCGTCTTGAAAATAAAGACCCCTAAGACTCCCTACCAAATGACTCTGTACATTATTAATCAGGGTTAAACTGAGTGAATAAGGTTCCATTTAGGTCATTATAATGGGCAAACTGACTTGAAGGTTGATTCCCTCAGTTTCCTAACCCTAATCAATAACGTTCAGAGTCATTTGGTAGGGGGTCTGAAGGGTCTTTGTTTTCAAGACACCCCTGGTAAACACCTTTCTAATTAGAGGATCAAGGTTAAAGAGACTAAATTAATTAACATCCATAGTATCATCTTTCCCGAGTTAAGGTTTGGAGAGAAGAGATAATGCAGTACAAGAGTGGTGATAACACGTTGCCTTCCTCCTGCACTGCCTGGGTTTCAGTCCTAGACAGCGTGCAAAGAAAGTCGTGTCCGATAGCCCGGGGTTAGTGGATTTTGCGATCGGGCTAGTGAATTCTGTGCTTAACTTGCCCAACGGAGTTGATATCATGGACGCAATTCCTGTAGGAATACGTCTAAATTTTTCTGACGTTGTCTCCTAAAATGATGGGTTAAGAGTTGTTGTGTGCACAGAAAGAGTTTGGAGGAGGCAAAGTGGTCGAGTGGTTAGAGCGCTGTACTTTAATATTCACGGTACTCCCAAATTCAAATCCTCGCGGTCACGCTTGCAAACGGCCAGCTTGTTTGCCTCCGGCTAGTTGGGTTTCTTAACCACGTCAAGTTTGATTTAGTTTATTGGTTTCAGGCATTTGCTCGGCCAAACTAGCAAAAGTGCTATAAATACTTCCGTTATTATCATTTTATTTCTTTACCTGTGTCTGAAGGATTGGCTGATGTGTTTTTTCGTCTTGGCTAAGATCAACGTACCCATACCTATAAAGATAGTAAATACAGAAAAGACTGTGAATGTGAAGGCTGTGATCACTGAGAGCTCTCTCGTCCAGTAAGACAAGCGTCCTTCTCTAGTCCGATTGTGCTACAAAAAATGTTTCCTAGATAAACAGAGTAGATTATTGAGATTAGAGGTAAGGGCTTCAACAATTATTCTTTAAGTTACCAACATTAATTGAGGTTTCGTACTATCTGTAAATCATTGAATGTTTAAATTCAAATAGGACCGATTCAGCGCTAACCTGGTGTTAAAATTTAATTGGGGCTTCTTTTTCTTTTGTTAAAAAGCATTTCCCGGAATAATTTTCTCAAAGCAAAGTGAATTAAGCTTTCATATCGGAATTCACATTTTGCACTAACCCTGGGTTATCTTCACAACCTTTCAATTTTATGCATCATACAAAAATCATAGAGATAAACCAGAGAAGAAATAAAGAACTAGCAAGCTTTGCTGTTTCAAATGTTTCACCTATCAGGGCTCAATCTACCCCGGACATAGCACAAACCAAAGCTCAACAAAAATACATGTATAACAAATAGAAGAGCTAAAATTTAACATCAGACTCCCTATGCGTCCAGCCTTTTGTCACATGTTTAGTCATGTAAAAGGACAAGTTACCTTGCCATCAGTTGGTCTTTAAGGTGCTTTTGCTCTGTTTCTTCTAGCTCCTGTCTTTTTGCACTAGGACAATGGGTCTGTGAATCATTGAATGTTTAAATTACAGGGTGTCATTAACACATACTATTTTGATCTTAACATATCTTCATTTTTGTACAATATATTGAGTGACACCACTGTTTCTGACAACTGAAAAGAATGAGCCTGCTGATTTTTTTAGTCTAAATCTAGTATCCCTAAATACGAAATACTGATTTTTTATCTTGCACATTTGTGAAGGTCAGCTTCATGGTTATGGCATGGGAGTATCTCTTCACTTGTTACAAAGAATTCATTAACAATTACCCACAGGTAACAGCGCACACGTTAAGTACAATATTTTCAAGAGAATACTCAGTCTGATGATCCCTTCATGTCTAAAACTCAAGTGACTGTCTCTCATTTTCTACCTCAAAATTTGTTATGTATTTTGATCTGCATGTGTTCTTAGGGTGCCACCACTAGAAGCAACCAGAGTTGTACATTTCTTTATTGAAATAAAATTTTTGTTAAGTTGGTTAGAGAAGCTCAAACTGATTTTAATCCAATTAAAACTTTAGATTAGACACTAAAAAAGAACCTACAGTGTAAGATAGCCTTCAGGTGATTTTCAGACCATCAGTGGATGAACTACAGGCAGTCAAACCCCAGGTGGGGGGGGGAATTCCAAGTAATAGGCTAATGGGGATGTGCCGCTGGATGGGGTTGCATTTTCAGTAGAGTAACTAGAAACTAGAATAGGGTTACACATTTTTCAGGATTTAGGGGATCAGAAAATTCAGGTAAGTAGGGATTTAAAAATGGGGAGAATCTTACTGCATCAGGTTTCACAAAAAGTGTCAACTCATTTCAGGATGAACTGGTTAAAAGGCTTTATACATGTAAGGTAGATGTATTCATATAAACAGAAAGTCACTTAGTGAATAAGTTTGGATTTTCTAAATTTCATTTGCCCAAAAGTGACTAAGATGGGGTCTATAATTTATTGGCAACAGAATAGACTATAATGGCATAGGGGTTCTGAGAGGCCAGCTGCATATACTGTACCCAGTAAAAATTAACCCAATTAACCCCCCTTGGAAGACAAAATGGCTCAGTGTTACTGATTTTCTGAAAGTATGTATCTGTCCACATACATGTACCTTTGGGGAGAAATCTAATATTTCCTGGGTGTTCTCCTTTCCTACTGTAGTACTTCTCTCACTCTTTAAGAGCATTAGTTGAACAGCAGACTCAGTGTCACCATTTGCAATGGTCAAACAATGTTCTATGTCTAAAGAACAGGCATCAGGAAACATCTCTGCTAGCACTGATACTCCTTCACTATAGTGATGTAAAAACAAAAAATAAGAAACAACATCATTTAAATTAATTTCTAAATAATACAGTTGTATTAAGGTGTTTTTCTAAGTTATAGATTTCTTTTTTGCTTTTAATTTGAAGGTCTGTAGGTGTTGTAAGGATAATTATGCTAGTGTACAACCCTGCATATACTAAAAAAAGATAAAAACCACCAGCCACTGTGGCATACCACACCTTACACTTTTTTTCTTGTCATCTGCTATAGTTTGAGCCATGTTGTCAATGATTCCCTGACTTGGACATCTTGATTTGCTGTTCCCATCCAAGGAACTTTTCTTCTGGTGATCTTCTTTGTATCTGGATGGCAAGCTGCCACTGTTTGTGTTTTTCAATGTGTTGGCTTCTGAAAGCAAAATGCAATTACAAAAACTGTGGTAAACAAACTTAATTAGTTTGCCATGACTATAAGGTCTAAATAGTAATTATTTTGATTGACAATGGAGAAGGCCCCTTAACTTCTTAGTCCCAATATCCACAAACAAATTCTCGAGACAGATCCTATATATAATATCGTTACAGAATTAGTTGACAGAATTTGATAAAAACCATTGCAGATAAAATAAATTCTCATAGCCTTTTCTCTTGATTTCGTATTGACATCCTTAGGAGAAAATTGATGTTGATCACTTTTGGGACTAAAAGTGTAAAGGGAAGTTTGGGTACAGGTAAGCTGCCAAGGGCTTTTAGAAACTCTGCTTAAGCCAAAAAAACTATTTACTAAGCTACCTGGTTAAGGTAATTTGACACCATCTAACTAGATTGTTTTAACAAAATTGTTAGTATCATACATTCCCAGCAGCAAGTGTACATACTCTAGACCATATACTGCCAATATTTACACCGTCAACAGTGAATTTGTATACCCTGTTTAAGACTCAAGACTGCCCGCCCCCCTCAAAAAAAGTTGTCTCTGTTATGACAATTCAGACACTCTTATTCTGCATGTTACTAAACTAGGTTTGGGTATGCTGTGGTATTGTAAAGAACCACCAAATAATCTAAGATCAACACAGTGAAATAAGTGTTACTATTAATAACAATTTATTAATACAATTATATTCAAAATACCTGAGACCTGCCTGGGTCAGCCAACAAAAAATCAGCCAGCAGTCACATTCACATAAAAGTAGTGGTTTACAAGCAACCCAAAAAATAGAAACATGGGCACTTCCATTTACCTTGACAGGTTAGACCATGTTAATGGGTAGCACCCCAAATCTCTTTGTGTCAGTGGTCCCGGCTGAGTTTGTTGGACTGTAAGTAACACCAAAGGTTTTTTTTAAAAAATAATGTACCTTCTATGTGATTACTGCTTGATGACATCCTGGTGTATACTAACTTCTCAGCCAAGCCAAGGATCCAGCTACAGACACACGCTCTTTAAGGATAAAACAGGGGAATGTCTGATGTAAATATATGTTACACGTAAAATTTGATTTCAGGTTAATTTTGATTTAACCTAGGTTGATTCAAAATTTTCTTTTGTTTTTTAGCCCTGAGGGGAAAAGGAAATTGAAAATAGACCTAGCTTTTAAAATTTTAACCTGACATCAAATTTAACCTGTAACATACCTGGATACAGCTGCATATGGATACATGTGGTATTTTCTAGTCACAAATTTGTTCATGCATATTAACCAAAAGAAGTATTGGTACAATGTATTTGTTATTATTTTTTCTATTTAAGCATTGATTTTTATTTCAAAGTACCAGTACATTGTTTTGACACAGAAGTACCAGTAATTTTCTTCTGGAGAGAAAGTAGCATTCAAATGTGACGTCAATGGTATTTTTTATTTGATTTTGAATCAATTTTTTTTTTTGGTGGCCAACCTTACAAAAATTTTGTGCAACATTATTTTTCATTTTGCAGAAGCACTCCAAAGCCACCTTCTAGATTAAGTCTGTCAAGAAAACCTGGCGTGGATCAGACGAGGTCCACCTCTGTAAACCTTTTGCTAACCTCGGTCTGTCTCATTTATAATTAAGTGAGTTACAGGGATTGACCACATCTGACCCAAACACTGCCATTTTTTGCTTTGTCATGTAATGCTCCTCTCCACAAGTGGGACAAGCGTTGTGTGATGTCACAGAAAATGGCTGTGTAGCAGACTAAATTTTTTTGATACCTCTAGAATAACACCTAAAATAAGCCTTTTGTATCATTTTCACACAAGTCTAGATAACTAAGGGTCCACCGTACCTCTATAGCACTGCATGTTGATAAGTTCATAGAATACTAAAAATGTAACAAGAATGCTCCTACAGTGGCATTCAGTCTTGCTTGCTTGGAGATTAGATCGAGAAATGAGGAGGCGATTAATTCTACACGAAACAGGATTTACTTGCTAAAGGTTTTACTTCCTACTTTATTGACGTCAATACTTTTTATTTGTTTCTGAATTGATTAAGGATGTGTGTTAGCAACGACTGGAAATATGCCTGCGGTCGCAGGCTTTATGCATGTATAAACACACGAAAATTCAAGGGCCTCGATTCCAGAGAAACAATTTCTTACTGTTTTTATCTCTGATGTAATTATTACATCAGAGATCAAAAAAGTAATTTACATGGCTCATCATTTCAAACCTTGCCGAAAATAAACCGCATGCTTATCACAAGACCCATTTGCACACAATGAAAGTTTACAACACCCGATCATCGTAGTTTTGCTAATTAAGATTCTTGTTTTTTTCAACCACTCGGTAGTGTTCACTTGTTCCAAAGTAAACAACGCTTTCAAGCGATAGAATTCATGGGCTGACAGGTTTCAGAAAAGCTCTAAATTTAATCTTTCCTAAGCTTTCTTTGCAAAATATGTGTGGCTTTGATCATGCAATAATTCTTAGTCCCAGTTTTCATGGTCTCCGCTAGGACCGCCAGGCACAGTAACTCCTCTTTTGTGTCCCAAATACGATGAAAAACGTTATGCAGACATGAGTCTCACTGTCCATGCAAGCGAGACTAATAATAGTCTGTTCATGCATGAATGTTTCAATGCTTTTGTTTTTTCAAGGCTGCACTCTAGGAAAAATTGAAGGGAGCCCAGTCCTCTGAGCCTATGAATACCAGGGTGGCCTGCATATGATTTCCATGGAAAAATAAGCTTTTACAAAAATTAATGTTACATGTAGGCACCAGGGGCTACCAGGTGCAGCAAGACCACAGACTTGAGCACCTATCACTCACACAGTGCTGTAAAGTTACATGATAAAGGACATTATAAATATTAGTACATGAATTGCTGTCAGAAAAACAACCTGTTGATTGTATCAAAGCCTGGAATGTAAGCATCCATTATTTCAGCAAACTCTTCCTCATCAAATTGTTCATCTTCTCCAAGTTGCTCCAGTACACTAACTATATATCCAAGAACAATGTCATCAATGCAGCTAAAAGACAAAAGGATCATAGGGTGTTCAATTTGAAAACCATCAGGATGGTCCGTGGAACGAACGCAAACAGAATTAAATAACACACACAGTGGTTTTAACCAAGCCTAAAAGCAAAGCATCCATTTATACACTTTCAATTTAATTTAAAGGAATAAGCTATGACCCATTGCAAAGAAATCCAGAAATTTATACTTCACTTAAGGAGGGAATTGAGAAAAGCTGGAAGATTTTAGAAAAAGTAAATAAAAGCTAATAAATTAAATTCGGGACAATTTAAAAGGGGTATGGGACAGTTTATCTTCTTGTATGGTAGTGTAAACTGTTCATTAAAGAACATGTACTTCATTAAGTTCATCAGAAGTTGCTTGCTTATTATCTCAATCTGCAGAAATATTTACTAACTGGAATTCAGTTCATCAATTTAGGCTTTTGACAGGCTAACTCTAGCCTGTGAAAGCAGTTGTCTCTCCTAGCTCCAAGGGACATTTCACCTGAAGAGACGTCTGCGCCTGAGTAATAGATAGTCCATACTGATAGCATATATCAATGACCACATAATTTATTGATCTGGTAGTAATTAGGGTTCCAAATGTAAATTCGTCTGATTTTAGGTTTCTTCTCGTCCACTTTGGTAACTAAAGGTTTTGTGTTCTTATGAGAATGAGCTTCAGCAAAACTCAAATATTTACTTAAAGAAGAATATATTCCGAGAAGGACTGCTTTGTTATAGATTTATTGCATTTGCATTTTACCTTTGTGGCCTTTTGCCATTTGTCTGTCATTCGCAAACAATAGCTACAATAATATAATAATTTATTACACTGGCCACTTAGAGCTCCTGACCAAATTTTGGACAGTTTCTATGTCATCAATATGGAATTTCTGCTGCTGAGTCACAGACATCTTTCCTGGTGACATTCCCATAGCTAGGGGCAAGAAGTGAGGAGTGATGGCCATTTTCCCAAGCTAGGTAGGCTTTACTTTAAATGAAACCTTTATCAAGTGCACACCTCTATTAGGCGGACGTGGACACCTAAAAAGTACTTGAAATGATCATTTCTATTGTTGAGGCTGCATGCTGACGACACCACTCAATACGCCTCTGATGTCTCACCAATGGTTTTGCAGTTTGTAATTAACTCCGATCTGAGTGTGCTATCGAGATGGTTTAGAATGAATTTTTTTACAGATTAATGCCGCTAAAACGAAGCTATTGCCATTGGTCTGTCTTCATACCAGTACGAATTCGATCTTAATGATTCTAATGTCCATACGAAGGATACATTTAAAATCCTAGGAGTGGTCCTAGATAGTAAATTAACATTTAAAGCGCACATAAAGAAGCAGCTGAATAAGGCCTGTGCAAAGGCTTCGGCTCTGCGGAGAATACGTAAGTTCATTTCTAAGGATGTATTAGTTCGTCTCTACAAGGCTTATGTTCTCCCTCACCTAGAGTACTGTAGTCCCCTTTTACTGGGAGTAGGCAATGCGGAGACTACCAAAATAGAGTCAACTAATTATTTTATATTAAGAACTATATTAGGCTATTCGAAGTGTTATATGACTTCCTCCTCAAGATGGCTGATATCAAGTCCTTGGAGAAACGTAGGCAATTCCAATCATTAGTTTTGTTATACAGATGCTTATATGACAAGGGGGCAGTCCTTATATCAGAGAATTTTTTAATTTAAAGGATGTACAGTACAACTTACGTGGACTTAGCACAAGGCTAGAACTACCTCCCTTTAATCTGGAGTTTATGCATCGATCTTTGACATTTTTAGCCAGCAAACTTTGGAATGCGTTACCTCCAAAAGTCAGAGAATCACAAGACATTGCGTCATTTAAGCGATCTCTTAAAGCTCACATGGCTTAGGGTGTAGTGCTTGTAAATAGTTTTAGTTTTAGATTCTGCTTTTAGCCATTTTGTAGATCTGTTAATAGCTAGTATTTTTACAGTAGTAATGTATAGGTTTCTAGCATAATTTTTTTTTTAAATTTTAAATTTTCTAATTTGTATACACATACACGTTTTAACGAGAACTTTAGTGCTCCTGGGTGTTACGTGTCTAAATAAAGGATTTGATTTGATTTTCACTTGATTGCCAACCTGTATTAAACAGACACTTATAATTAAATTCCACCACCCAACATGCCAGATACCAGAAATTTGAAAGATTACCACCCACAAATTTTTCGATTTTTACATTAAAAAACGTGACTTGACAAAGCTAGTTGATTAGTTCCACAGTACAGTATTGTTTTCTATTTCGTTTTGTTTGTGTAGAGCTTGTCTTGCTCATCTGAGTTCTTCAAATTTGAGTTGCAATCTACGTTTATGGTACTATGATCAATTGGTCCTCTTTTAAATTAATAAAGAAATTAATGCAAATGTATATCATCATAGTCTCTGGGAGTATTCTAAACGTTTTCACTGTTCATTTAAATGGCATTTGACACCTCATATGACGTTATCTATTGAAACCTGTATTAGGCCTACACCCTGCATTAAGCGGACACTACAGGATTGCCCGACGGTGTCCGGTTAATAAAGGTTTCACTGTATTAAGAGAGCAAGGAAAAAGGGGAGGACACATCTCTTTTTGCTGTCCCCACGATCTGAACCCTGGAACAGGCTAAGCTGGCTCTTAATTTCTCTCGGCTTTGATAGTCTCAAATTCGCCTGTTAATATAATCTGTATAAATTAATTATTGATACAGATCGGTTAGTGATACACTTCGAAGGAAAATGTTATAAAGGAGATTGAACTACTGGATGAATTTGTAAAGCTGATGGCTACAACCAGGTAGATCGTTACGGAATAGAACTTGCAATGAACATTTACAGGACAGAAAAGCAACTCACCTTAACGATTCTGCGGATATTTTGCAGTGTA